GCGGAGTGCGCATCTGGCGTCCACGGTTTGCGTGGGCTTACGTAATTACACTGGTAGGGGGAAAATTAGAAGAGTCCGTACAGGGGCTCGCCGGGCCTATACTTTTTTCAAACCGTGTTTTACGTCCGTACACTGGGAGCGCAAAGACGGGGGAGGGAGATGGCGTAGCGAAAGCAGGTGGGTTGGGGGGGTGTTAATGTATTCAGGGTGTTTGGACGTTAGCATGTAGATGGGCCGCAATCCAGATGGTGGTCACCTGCACGAAAAGCACCGTATAGCCGCGATCCAACTTACTGAATACAGGAGGGGCAGTTTGTCATTACGTGTCAATCTAGTGCTGGGTTAGTCTTGCGGAATGCGTTAGCTGAGGGCACTTTCGATTCTGAATCAGTACGCATGGGGTGAATGCTGGGGGATTGCTCGTAACGCAAGAGGGAGGGGGCGCCAAGGGCAGATATGTTGAGACCTGAATTAATACCACGCACTAAACCCACAGTGTATAACTCAGGGGATTCGGGAGTGGAGTGGAGGCGGAGATGCTTGTCGAGAGGGGAGTTTTTAGAAAAACCGTCGCGTGGGATGATCGGAGAATACGCTAGTAAACACCATACAGAAATTATCTTATCGTCGGCGTCGTGCAGGGGGGCAGCTGAGCCAGGGGATGGATTGGGTCACAGCCATAATGGGGAGGGTGTACTGGGGAGTAAGCGCCGGACTAGGGAGGGTTGGGTTTCTGGGGGGCGCGAGGTGGGATATGATGATGAGTTCGGGTGGGGGGGGGAGGGACGATTCTGTTGTGGTAGAAAAAAATCATAACTGTACTGTACTAACTGAAACATCATGATTATAAATTGTACAGCTAATTAATAAATCAACTAGATTATTGCATAATTATATTTACTTTGTTTATTAAGCTTTTTGATTAACCTATTTGTATTATGATTGATTATTGTCATTACTTATTGCCCCAGGGTTATGGCATACACAGCCACTTTTGATTTGTTCTTCTACAATGGTAGTTTTCAGTCTATAGAATGAATTGGGTCTGATGCACTTAGTATAATAAACTATGTCTGTTTAGAAATATAATGGAATTGTGGTGGACCTAGCTACAGAACATTGTTGAACTAACAGGCAAAGTAGGAAGAAGACGGTGAACGAATAAGAATTGAGAGCCACTCAGAGGATAGTACTACTATTGTAGTGAAGGAGAACACAGGTGGGGCAAACCGAATTGTATTCTAACGAAAATTACAGAGTTACTCAGTAAAATAGGAAAATCATATCGTAAATCGTTCATTGCAAAATATCAGTTCATGCATAATCGAACTGGACTGTTTCATGTTGCAAAACATCAATCCATTGTCACTATTCATGATGCGTTTCATATAAATTCCATTGTGTTCTAACTCTTCCTTTCTTAATCTTCCCCGATCTTCTGCTGCCAGACATTACGTTGACACTCACGTCATATACTAATCTTATAAGTAGCTCGCGACCACACCACTACTACTACTAAGCGCTAAGAATGTCAATTCTGACCACGGGTTTTTAATGTGTTTTTTGTCACGTGATATTGACCAGGACACATACGACAGGACAACAATACACAATCCTGAGGTTATATGTCAAAAAAGAAACAAAAAATTACCTTCCGCGATACCGGTACATCTTATTGAATGAAATGAAAATTGAATTTCACAACAAAACTTAACAGTTTCTGTTCGTATACGTTTTAATTCAATTTCAAATTCTTTATCTAATCGTTCCATTTGTATTTTATAATTACGCATAGACCATTTCAAGTCTATGAATCATGAAGCTTTTAGTTAATGTCTATAAAAAAAATACAATAAAATTTTTTCAAATAATAAAATTGACTCGTTGAAATCATGAACTGATGATCATTAATATTAGATACAGATTGACAATTCAACAGCACATTAGGCAGTTGATGAGTCAGTTGTTCGAGTGTTTCCAAGTTCTATGACGAGTCTAACATAGAACAGTGTGTGATTTTAATAGAAACACAACTCCAGAACCATTTTTAATGACAATTCTCAAAAAAGTGTATAAAAACTAGTAAATAGCTCAAATTGTTTGTCACCTGTAAATATGTATGATTAATAGGGTTTAATATGTAAGATGATATGGCTACATGCAGACTTTTAGTCTTAGCAAGTATTGCTTTAGCTTAAATTGTAAAGTAGCGTTGAGACATGCGTCGTACATAGTTTCGACTACAGTCAATGATAAATGTGTTTATTTAAAGCTTTCCTATTGAATTCTATATAGAACGTCAAATGAAAAAAAATCCTTTCTTAGCATAATTTCTTACTTGAAAACATATCTTATAACAAACGACATACTGATTGATTACTGATAAGTATAGCCATTACACTATTACCTGGTTTACAGTACTTATCGAACTCAAGTCGATTAGATTGAAGTATGGACCGCTAGTACATAGAAGAATTGGAACTCCGTACGCTCAACTTTAGGAGCGGATCGACATCAGGTGAATTAATCGTGACTCACTTCTTATGCACAAAAGAAGGTATTACCATTTACTTGTATAATTAGCGAACGTGTTTTCCGAGAAATTCCAACATCTGACTTACTGATAAATTCGAACTTATTAAAATATCGAGATTCTACTGGCGCAAGAGATTGCCGTCCTGGTTAATGTTTATTGCTATTATCAACATGATGCTGGAGAAAAGTCTACCAGACTTTTCACTATTACGCAGAAATCTTTCTTAATATCTCACACTAAAAAAAATATCTGAATAGTTCAGATTTAAAACAATTTTTTTGAATGATGTACGTTTCAGTGTATCATTAAATCTATTAAGAGTTCCTAGAGTATTGAATTATAAATGCAGTAAAACAATCTATATTTTCGCTGTTTCAATGTTAAACAGGAAGATAATCAACAAAAAATCATTCTCAATAAATAATCATATTCAGATTTTTATTCATGTGTGAGAATTCCATTAGATTATACAATAAAAATAATTTCTCTAAATAACACGAGAGAAATGTTTTGATAAATTTCACGCAAAACGTCGAGAAGCACACATTATTGTGCAAACAATAATACACTGTCGTTGAACGTTTAGATTCAAACCCCAGTGTAACATTTCCTGTACATAATAATATCAAAGAATCTCAAGACTAACAATGAAGTATATGTACAATTATGCATTACTTTATTAGGATCAAATAATAATATATAATTACAATAATATAAGAAAATTACCTTAAAATCTAAACAATTCTGTAATGAAATAATTACTGAGAAAAAAAAATTGTTACATTATATTATGAGTTCATTGAAGCGGAAACTGTACACACAACACTATAGAGAATGTCACTAGGTTCACAAAGTTCATTCTAAACACTTATCAATATAGATTAATTCTATTGATAAGTGTTTAGAATGACTTTGTGAACCTAGTGACATTCTCTATAGTGTTGTGTGTACAGTTTCCGCTTCAATGAACTCATAATATAATGTAACAATTTTTTTTCTCTAGTAATTATTTCATTACAGAATTGTTTAGATTTTAAGGTAATTTTTAATTATTATGTGTAATTATTATTATTATTTGATCTATATAAAGTAATGCATAATTGTACATATACTTCATTTTAGTTTGAGATTTCTTGATATTATTATGTACAGGAAATGTTAGCACTGGGGGTTGAATTCTAACGTTCAACGACAGTTGTAATTAATTGTTTGCACAATAAATGTGTGTTTTCGAGTTGCGTGAAATTTATCAAAAAACATTTCTCGTCTGTTATTTTAGAGAAGATATTTTATTATATAATCTAATGGGAATTCATCCCATGAATAAAAACCGAACATGATATTGAGAATGATTTGTGTGATTATTTCCTCATGTTTAACATTGAAACAGCGAAAATATAGATTGTTTTACTGCATTTACAATTCAATACTCTAGGAACTGTTAATAGATTTAATCATACACTGAAAACGTACATCATTCAAAAAAAAAATTGTTTGAATCTGAACTATTCAGATATTGTTTTTTAGTGTGAGATGTTAAAAAGGATTTCTGAGTACTGGTGAAAAGTTTGGTAGACTTTTTTCTAGCATCATGTTCAAATAGCAATAAGCATTAACCACGACTTAAATCTCTTGGCAGTAGGAATCCGAAATTTTAATAAGTTCGAATTTATCAGTAAGTCAGAGGTTGGAATTTCCTCGGACACATGTTCGCTAATTATACAAGTAAACGGTAATACCTTCTTCTGTGCATAGAAGTGAGTCACGATTAATTCACCTGATGTCGATCGCCCCTAAAGTTGAGCGTACGGAGGTTCCAATTCTTTATCGTACTGGTCCATACTGCAATCTAATCCATTGTGTCCGATGTGTACTGTAAACCAGGTAATAGTGTAATGGCTTACTTATCAGTAATAAATCAGTATGCCGTTTGTTATAAGACATGTTTCAAGTAAGAAATTATGCAAGAAAGGATTTTTTTCATTTGACGTTTATATAGAATTCAATAGGAAAGCTTTAAATAAACACATTATCATTGACCTGTAGTCGAAACTATGTACGACAATGTCTCAAAGTACTTTACAATTTAAGCTAAGCAATCTTGATAGACTAAAAGTCCGCATGTAGCCATATCATCTTACATATTAAGCCCTATTAATCATACATATTTATAGGTGACAAACAGTTTGAGCTATTTACTAGTTTTTGCACACGTTTTGAGAATTGTCATTAAAAATGGGTTCTGGAGTTGTGTTTCTATTAAAATCACGCACTGTTCTATGTTAGAGTGTCATTAGAAACTTGGAAACACTCGACAACTGGTATAAGACTCATCAACTGCCCAATGTTCTGTTGAATTGTCAATCTGTATCTAATATTGATGATCATCAGTTCATGATTTCAACGAGTCAATTTTATTTTTTTTAAAAAAATTTATTGTATTTTTTTTATTATTTTTTTATAGACATTAACTAAAAGCTATGATCATAGACTTGAAATGGTTATGCGTAATTATAAAATACAAATGGAACGATTAGATAAAGAATTTGAAATTGAATTAAAACGTATACGAACAGAAACTGTAAGTTGTTGTGAAATTCAATTTTCATTTCATTCAATAAGATGTACCGGTATCGGGAAGGTAATTTTTGTTTCTTTTTTAACATATAACCTCAGGATTGTGTATTGTTGTCTGTCGTATGTGTCTGGTCAATATCACGTGACAAAAACACATAAAAACCCGTGGTCAGAATGACATTTTAGCGCTAGTAGTAGTAGTGGTGTGGTGCGAGCTACTTATAAGTAGTATATGACGTGAGTGTCAACGTAATGTCTGGCAGCAGAAGATCGGGGAAGATTAAGAAAGGAAGAGTTAGAACACAATGGAATTTGTATGAAACGCATCATGAATAGTGACAATGGATTGATGTTTTGCAACAGAAACAGTCCAGTTCGATATGATGAACTGATATTTTGCAAATGAACGATTTACGATATGATTTTCCTATTTTACTGAGTAACTCTGTAATTTTCGTTAAATACAATTCGGTTGCCCCACCTGTGTTCTCCTTCACTACAATAGTAGTACTATCCTTGAGTTGGCTCTCAATTCTTATTCGTTCACCGTTCTTCCTACTTTGCCTGTTAGTTCAAAAGGTCTGTAGCTTAGTGTCCACAAAATTCCATTATATTTCAAACAGACATAGTTTATATACTAAGTGCATCAGACCCAATTCATTCTATAGACTGAAAAACTACCATTGTAGAAGAACAAATCAAAAGTGGCTGTGTATCCATAACCTGGGGCAATAAGATTGACAATAATCAATCATATACAATAGGTTAATCAAAAAGCTTAATAACAAAGTAAATATAATTATGCAATAATCTAGTTATTTATTAATTAGCTGTACAATTATAATCATGATGTTTCAGTTAGTACAGTAAGTTATGATTTTTTTTAAATCTTCCACCGAATAATATATATCCATCTTACTTACTTTATGGCTGTGAATCATGGTCAGTGAGAGTAGAAGATATTTGTAGGTTACTGGTTTTCGATCATAGGTTTCTTCGAAGCATTGCTCGTATATCCTGCGACATCCGCGTGAGCAACGCTGTTATTAGGAAACGAGTGCTAGGTAAGAATGGCAGATCAATAGATGAAGTAATGAAACTTCATCAGTTGAGGTGGTTTGGGACATGTGTTGCGTATGTCCAATCACCAACTGCTTCGACGATCTTCGTTTTGTAGTGTAGGAGTAGGTTTGAAAAAAGTTAGGGGCGGCTGTAGGATTTAATTTGTCCTACAGATGTAATTCTAAAACGTGAACGCAAATGCCGCCGATGACAGATTCAAGAGTAAATCAGAACAGTAAACTTGGGTTTAAACTGTATCTGTTTCTAAACAAAAGAAAACGATTAAATTAGTACAATAAATAAGGAAATTACAATTATCAAGCAAGATGAGCAAACGTACCGGACAGTATAGCGTGTCTTCAGAAAACGAATATAAAACATGAACCACATCTATATAAAATAAAATAATAACATCCTCAATCGATAATTCATTCACAACAAAGAAAGTTTATAGATTGGTCAGACTAGATGACGTGGTGAGCGCTTAACCAATCTGATTGGTTAGTTATGACATGTCTACAATTAGTTATAAAATAACTAACAGCGGCCAAACCAAAACATGGCTGAAATCCATGAAGTCACCGACTAGTGGACTGAGACATGTTGGTAGTTGTCGACTACCTGGTTGGGGTCTGCGAGATGATAATAATCGATGGTTAGGTACCCTGAATGTCATGGCTCAAAACCGTTTGCAATGGCGCCGGTGCATTCATTCTTTGTGTTCTCTCAAATCCTAATCTTCTGGATTCTTCAACACCTCTAGCTTTTACTTTCTAAACTTTTCTCATTTAATCATACTTCTTGAATAATATCTTCTAATCCTAACCTCTCCGATTACTTCTAATACCTTTACTACCTCTTCTACTATTGGATTTGAATTGACAATTATATCTCTGTGTTGATGTGGTATGGCAACATGAACTGATGTACTTACGTACGAAGTTCTACATTGCATCTGACTGACTGACTGAATATATATCCATCTCTGGTACAAATGAATCTTCTATTCCGGTTTTTTTAAGTAACATTCAACAATGCAATATAGTTTACTCTTCTTTTTTTTGTAATTTCATCATTCATTACTGAATTGCTTTTAAACAACAAAACGTCTAATTAGATAGTTTAGAAAACAAACAAACAGCGTCAATGTTTCTGTCATCAATAAGAAGATAGGCGCAGTCAATTCAAAAAATCATTGATGTTTCTTTTTTTTTTCTTTCGGCTAATAACACCACATAGGTTTATAGATTTGTCAAAGTTGAACTAGTTTATCATTGATTCTGTGTTATATTATTGTCTAGTGTTTTTAAGTTTTAATCTCAGTCAGTCAGTTACAATGTAGAACTTCGTACGTATGTAGGTACATAGGTTCATGCTGCCATATCATATTAGTACAGAGACACAATTGTCAGTTCAACCCCAATAGTGGTAGAGGAAGTAGAAGTATTAGCGGTAATGGAGAATAGGGTTCGAAGATATGGTTCGAGAAGTATAATTCAGTGAAATATAGACGTGATGACGAATTTTGAATTTGAAAGAAGACAAAGAGTGGATACATCTGTGCCATTGTAAACGATTTTGAGCCATGTCGTTCTAGGTCTCTAACCATCGGTTACAATCGTCCGAATCAGGTAGTCTACATCTACCAACATGGCTCAGTCCACTTGTCAGTGACTTCATGGATTTGTGCCATGTTTTGGTCTGGCCGCCCCTAACTTTCTTCCAACCTACTCTTACAGCAGAAAACATAACTCGTCGAGGTTGGGCATTCGTAACACATGTCGCAACCACCTCAACTGATGAAGTTTCAATACTTCATCTAATAATCTGCCATCCTTACCTAGTAGGTGCTTCCTAATGTCAGCATTGCTTATACGGTTGTCCCAGGATATTCTATCAATGCTTCGAAGGCATCTATAATCGAATACTAATAACCTACGAATGTCTTCTACTTTTACTGGTCATGTTTCGCAGCCATATAATAGGATGGAGCAAACTACTACACAGTAGACTCAGTTTTAATCTAATTACATTCAAACTATTTATTACTACTGTAAGTAGATTGTTACTTGTCTTCTCACATATTTCTTGTAATATTCCAAACACTTTGATCGCATCATACATTTAGATCCGACGAGATCGATCTTTCCAGTAGTAACCTCTGGATGAAACTCCAGTGCATATTACTTATAAGCTACTTTGAGAGTAATGTTCATCAAACTGTACGTGATCAATAAATAGAGTTTAACTATTTTAATACTGCTAAAAGGTCAGGTTTAAATTATTTGTAGTCTATTACTTAGTGAAATCTGTTTCAAGTTCACATAGAAAATAATTATTTTCTTAATAAGTTTTAACCAGTGAAAAATTTCTGTCAAGGGTTTCTTGTCCATTATTTTCAAGCACATAACTCATAGTTGTCGTTTCATTACTTTTAGAAAATGTCATGGTAAAATTTTGGTATTATTGATGACCTTGAGTAGAACCAATCAAAATTAGGATAGTGACTTGGCGCGACATTTAGAATGCAGTGATAGGTAACTTGTATGTTATCAAGGCAAATCGTTTTCAACAGTATTTGGTAGAAGTTGATAATCTCCTCCTTTCCTGACTCTGATTGTAGATCTCTACAGTTTGTAGACAACAGGGTTACAGAGCACTGTATTATAGCTCTGACTTCGGTTTGTGATTGTAAATAACCTTAACACGTACTTGGAAATCCAAACTTAGAACTCTGACTTAACTTTTCATGACAAATAATCTCAACCTGCTGGCATTAAAGCTGGTCTAAGTTGATGACGTAAACTTTATCAGGTAATAACCTTAATTGATTATACAAGTCCGACTTTTAATTGGTGAACTTATCCATTTTCTTTCAATACAAGGAATAGTTCGACATGTAAAGTTTGATTAATCAGATCGAAGCTGTTATTCCACTGATAGTTTATGACCTTTAGCTGTTGATTGTCATATAACTTAAGCAGCACTTCCTGATTGGCTGATAAAGACCTTTCAAGGTCATCGATACATTTACCATGTAACCTAATACATATTCAATATTTTGTTGTTCGTTTTAACATTCTATTCTGTTTTATCTCCCTCTTTCTCTTTCTTTCTACAGTCAAAAGAAGAGCGTTCATTTAAAGATCGTTTAAAAAGTGAAATTCACACATATGATCGTGTAATGCGTAAAGCAGCTAAACGTGATCTTCAAAAATTTGATCATAATTATAATTTATCAAATAATTATGATATAAAATCGAATTCATCATCATTAGTATCAATAAAATCAAATGCCAGTAGTAATAATAATAATGATAATCATAATAATACTAACAATAGTAGTTCACTTGTTTCACAACGTTTAACATTATTTCGTGAAAATCAAGAAACTTTAATGAATAGTCGTATTTATAATTTACATAATGAATATAATAAACGTAGAAATTTAATACATTCTGAATATTTAAATGAAAATCATACATTACGATTAAGTAAGTATATATATATATATATATATATATATATTTTATTTGTTAAAGTATTTATATATAGGATTATGGAAATTGTTGAGTTTCACTGAAATCATGCATTGATCAATATCAAATCATCATTGGTCAGTCAGTCAGATGCAACGTAGAACTTTGTACGTACGTGTACACCAGTTCATGTTGCCATATCATATTAGCACAGAGATATAATTGTCAATTCAAATCCAATAGTAGAAGAGGTAGTAAAGGTATTAGAAGTAATCGGAGAGGTAAGGATTAGAAGATATTATTCAGTGAGATAAGTTTAGAAAGTCAAAACTAGAAGTGTTGAAGAACCCAGAAGATTAGGATTTGAGAGAACACAAAGAATAAATGCACCGGCGCCATTGCAAACAGTTTTGAGCCATATCATTCAGTGTGGATGGCCGTCTTATTAGTGTGTACTGTTGGCGTCGTCAGCTCAATGGTCAAGATGTTAGGCGTTCGGGTATGAGACTGAAAACTTGGTTTCAGCCTTATAGGGTCGTCATTGTTCGCTACTGATTAATCTCATACTAGGGGTGGAACGGCTGTCTAATGCTTCCTGGTCTTTTTAATGGTCGTCTAACATTGATCGATTCACAATTTCAATGAAATGTACATTACTTTAATTAGAAAGAAAAATCTATTCTTAATCTTGATTGGTTATATTGAAATTTTTATCAGTATTGAGAATTGAGTGAACGTGATTTTAATCACTATTCTATGATTAGTTTATGTAATTATCTGAGTTTCATGAAAGGTCAGTCATTACGAGAAAATTTAATATTGAATGATAAGTGTTGGGCCTACTGGAGAATATCTGTTCTTTGATGATTTTGAGGTACATCTAACTGCTACGAGTTTTTTTAATAAACTACCTTCCACCACATAACAGCGATTCTACAGCCAGTTGAATGTTCATTAACTTTGAGTTAATGACCTTGAAATACATCTTGTTTAAAAAGTCAGTATCAATAGAATTGTACTGTCTCTACTAGTCGATATTAATCAATAAAATGCACTTCATATTAAAGACTGGATGACATAATATTTAATCATAAGTCAACTGTAACTAGGGTTCTATTACGTACTTACATCAAATCAAGTTTTAACGCGGCATTAACACAGTGAAATTAAATTTTAAGCTTCGACCATAGCTGCTCAGTCAGTCAGTCAGTTGCAACGTAAGAACTTCGTACGTATGTACAGTAGTTCATGTCGCCATACCACATGAGCACAGAGACGCAAATGTCAAATCAAATACCATAGTGGTAGAGATATTAGAAGTATTAACGGTCATGAAGAAGACTAGGGTTCGAAGATATTATTTAAGAAGTATAATTCAGTGCGATAAAGTCAGGAAGACTAAGGTAGAGGTGATGACGAATCCAGAAGATTAGGATTTGAGAGAGTACAACGAATGGATGCACTTGCACCATTGCAATCGATTTTGAGCCATGTCGTTCAAGGTCTCTAACCATTAGTGACTTTCGTCTCGCGGACCCCAACCAGATAGCCTACATCTACCAACATGGCTCAGTCCACTTGTCAATAACTTCATGGATTTCTGCCATGTTTTGGTCTGGCCACCCCTAGCTTTCTTCCAATCTACTCGTACACCACAAAACATAGCTCGTCGCGGCAGTCGGTGGTTAGGCATACGTATCACATATCCTTACCACCTCAACTGATGAAGTTTCACTACTTCATCTATTGATCTGCCATCCTTACCTAGTACTCGTTTCCTAACAACAGCATTGCTTACTCGGTGACCATAGCTGCTACCTTAACATGGTATAGTCAGGTTTACTTATTTTTGTTGACTAAACCGAGCTACATTGTCTGGAGCATAGGTTTCGTTAGGTCCTATCATGCCAAGCAGGGTTGGTTAGTGAACAGTAAGACTAAAAGCAGTATTTTATCATAAACAGAACTGTTGTTTTTTTCTGTATATTTAATTCTTATCAACATCATTATTAATAAATCTATTTTAACAACATAATCAATCAATGGTGAAGATTTTGAAGAAGATAAATGGAAATTAGAACATCGTTATTTATCTATGAAACATCAATTGGATAGAAATCGTCAACTTGATTTATTTATGATTAAACGTGAACAATTAACTGGTCGATCAGAACTTGAATTAACCGAATTAAAACAGGTAGGTATATTCTATAGGTGATCTGTTTATATATATATATATATATATATATATATATATACCAGTTGCCTGAAGCTTATGTATTTGGGCACAGGAAGGAAATTCCTCGGTTCGATTCCCGCACTCAGGACGAAGCAACTGTCCAATGTCTCTCTAGGTTTCCAATGATGGTCTAACATTCATTGACTCATGATTTCCCGCACATATATATATATATATATATATCATTTATAGTTGTACTTGTTCACCAAACTGTTATGCTTAAAACTATTACGGGTTCACCTTAGTCGATAAACGAGAACAAGATAATGTTCCAGCGTCCAGGTAGGCTACTCTGATCCGTTGACCCCAAACAGCTAACGAGAAGTCTTGATATAGTGTAGAAGTGTATTGTACAAACACCTAGCCAGCTCACAATAAATCCAAGCACACAAATCGCGTTTATTTATACACCATAGAGACGTCCTTGGGATATTCATAAAAATCGCTCACTAAAATAACACAGTAACTAATCACAGCCAAGGATTTTCTTTGTGGGAAATGTGATTCCAAGGTCAACTGATCAGCCTATGAATAAAATTCAAACTAAAGATATCAAGAGAGTTCTGGGGATCTGACATTCCCAAATACAAACTAATTCGTTTTAGTTGATTAACATGTCAAAAATACAAGATTACTTTTGGATAATATATATATATATATATTTCTGACACTGAATAATGCCGACAGATGAGAAGATCTATAACACTACTCAATTTACTGGAAGCATAATTTAACTTTCATGTCATGAGAGATGTATCAGCATCTTGATGCTTCAGTTTGAGAAAATAATTAGGTTATTGACTGGCTTTAAAACACTTTGATTGCGCCGTACATTCAGATCCAACACTCTTTATTCCGGTAGTGCCACATCGCAAAAAATATTCATCACTTAATAGTATGTTCAAGTTTGTGAAATTAACAATCATGAAAATGAAACATTAACAAACATACCGATGTTTAAATTATCCACTATTCAATAAATGCAAATATTTTTGTTCGGATCGTTCAGGAACAATGTTACCGAAAAGCATTCATTAAATTAATATCGATCGGTATTAGCGTTTATTGAAATTATGAATCGATCAGTGTTAGATCACTATAAAGGGCCTGAAAGCACTGGACGCCCATATCTTCGTAGTATAAAACTTATCAGCAGTGAATATCCACGAACTTGTAACTGGGGCTCGGAGGACACTGAGCTCTCGGTATCACGCGCGAACACTTACCCGCTTGACCATCGAGCAGACAGAGTTGTGGGTGCTCACTAATGATGAGGCCTATACTCTGACGAAACGACTATCCAGGGCTTTTAGGTTTCTTTCTAATAATGATCCAACATTGATCGATTCACCATCTTAATGAAACTCAACAATCTTCACAATTCTATCATCTATCATTTTGTTATTGTTGTCTATTCTGTTTATTTTCATTTGTAGACAATCAATATGGAACGAAATAAACTTCAAACAATTCATTCTATAGAAAGAAAAAATTATATCAAATCTATGAAATCACTGAATAAACGTAGTATTCTAACATTACAACGACAATCGAAACTTAATGCTATCGAAGTAAGAAATCGCTAATTGAAATAAATTCATTGAATTACTATTATTATTATTTCAATAATATGTGTGTTTATGTGTTTGTGGTTAAGCTATACAGTGATAACAATTGAATGCTTATTAGTTTGCATGCAAGAACGCAAACATTCATTGAAGCAGTCTTTTCCTATTTTTAGTCTTACTAAAATTGACCAATACTTAGGTCTGAGGGCGAAGTCGTACTGCTGACTGCAGAGGGGTGTGACAGCAGTAAGGTGTTTCCCTCGGATAACCAGCATCTGCAGCGATGCTGCTGCCTTCTCACAAGGAAGGAAGGGGTTAAAAAAGGTCGACCGTAAAAATGTCACACCTCACCCTACCTCACGGATTTCCGTCTCTGGCGGTAAGGGTGCCCACTAAGGGCTTTCAAGAGCGGAGCTAATACTAAAAAACCCTTCATAAAAAGGCCGTGCGTGACCGGCCTCCAGCAGTTGTCCCTTGGGCTCTGCAGTCACGCACCCAGGTCTCTAAGACCAACACAAATCTATCTTCCTTTTCAGGTTCCTCAAGAAACAACCTTCCACGGTGTGTGCAGCCGAGAAGTGACAACCGCCCTCATACCCGTAACAACACACGAGACCAAATTGGTCAAAATCAAATCCTTCCTACACCCACTAATACCTCTCTTATCTCCACGACTGACTCTTCTCACATTCCTTTATCACAGTGCACAGCTAGCGCAAACGATGCGAGTTCACGGATCGTCATTCCTGGTCTCTTGAAACCCCGTTCTAGACTACATGTTGGAGCTTTTAATGTACGGACATTGTGTCAAATAGGGCAACAGGCTTCCTTAGCTAGGACTTTAGAATCTCGCTCAATCGATGTATGCTGTGTCTCGAAAACGCGCATACAGGATCCTAGTAAAGTCATTAATCTGATTTCGCCTTGTCGAAACAAAGAAGCGACCCGATTCACTCTTCGTGTATCTGGAAGCCCTGATGCTGCTTCCCGGGGTCTCGCTGGCGTAGGTATAAAATTGAGTCGTAGAGCTGAACTATCGCTCCTAGACTGGATCCCAGTAGACAGTCGCTTGTGCGCTGTCCGACTAATCTTCTGGATTCTTCAACACCTCCAGTTTTGACTTTCTTAACTTATCTCACTGAATCATACTTCTTGAATAATATCTTCTAATCCTAACCTCTCCGATTACTTCTAGTACCTTTACTATCTGTCCTACTATTGGATTTGAATTGACAATTACATCTCTGTGCTAATGTGGTATGGCGACATGAACTGATGTACTTACGTACGAAGTTCTACATTGCATCTGACTGACTGTCTGACCAATACTTACTTACCTACCCCTCCTACCCCTCGTGGAGCGTAGGCCACTGACTGACCAACATTCCCCAACCGATTCTATTGTGGGTCTTCCTCTCCAGTTTTGTCGAATTGATGTTTATTCTTTTCATGTCAGTCTACAGTTTTCTGTGCAATGTTATTTGTTCTGTCTCTTTTCCTTTGGCCTTGAGGATTCCAAATGAGGGCTGGTCTTGTAACGCAGTTGGATGCTTTCCTTAATATGTGTCCTATTCACCTCCAGAGCTTTTTCTTTATTTCGTTTTCTTTCCCATAATAGTAGGTTGTTGATGATGGTATCTGACTAACGTATCCTCAGTGTCTTGCGTAGACAACTGTTAATAAACACCTGTTTGTTTTGAACGCTGGCTTTCGTGGTTCTCCAAGTTTCCATCTCATACAAAAAGAACAACATTAACATTTGAATTGAAAATTCTGATTTCGGTGTTAGTTGATAGTTAGCTGTTTTGAGTTTCATATGCTGCCCTTGCTTTGTCAATCTGCACTTTCAATTCTGTATTAGATCCACCTTGTTTATCAATGATGCTGCTACATCTTCGCCGTCAAATGTGATTGGTTGATACATGTCGTGTTTTATCGGAGGATCTCGCTTTCTCCCTTGTATTTGTTGAGATATAACGCTGCAGAGGTTGCTGCTACACTGGTCGTCTTCTCCTGAATTTGTTGTTATGTGTGGGAAAGAAGGTCTAGATCATAAATAAATTGACCAACACAAACCTAAAACTCAGAATTTTTTCTTCGAACCTCTTTGTTTTCTGTTGTTGTATGCGCCTAACTTATAACGTCAAAGATAACCGGGATGATCATAAACCATTATGGCTTTCTCTCATATGTACATTGATTTCATCTGCCAGACCACTAACAGCTCAGCAGAAAGGTAGTTTCGTGGTAGGTAATCTGACTTCAATCTCGTTGAATGAGTGAATACGTCATTAATATAAATTTTCTATTTAATTTTGTATACTACAGTTGCACTTACCTCGTTTGAGCGATGGTAGTAATCAGAACTCATATACAGATTCAGTTGAATGCGTTTATCTCACACACCCATTTATTCAGACAGACATTACAATGAGCATTGAGAAAACAGAAAAATTCGATCAAATGTGATTCATCGTTTATGGCTAGGCCTGAATAATCTAAAGACATGTGATCAATAAAGTCGGTGATACATACATAAGCTAATGTAAAAACAGTTTAATTTATAAGCGAAAAATTGATGAGGTCAAAACATGTCTGGTCTGTCCAAATGCTAGAATAACTCATACAGAGGTGATATTGTATTACACACTATTGTACTCACAAACATAGGATTCGTCTAGCTTTGTTTATGCAAAATCCTTGTATTCATTTACACAATTTTACTAACCGCTATTGGTAAATGTCAGTAAAGACCTTTACTAATATTATTTTCAATTGGGCCTTTGATAATTGCTATTTACAAACGAATTTTGTATTGTAAACCATCGAATGCTCTGATGCAGCTGAGAGTGTGGAGAGTCCTCTCACCCTCTCCAAATGCTCTCACATGGCTACGTACTCATAGTTACCGCTTTTTTGAAGCAGAGTTAACGCTTCCGAAATGAAGAGAGAGTGAAGTAGTTGAGAGTGTCAACCGCCTTCACTTATCTTGGGAGTCTCATCACTGCTGATGTCCTGGTGTGTGATGAAATCTTTGCACTGATACAAAAGGATCGACTGAATTTCGCCTAGTCGCGTCACTTATGTTGTAGGCGAGATAGCTATTTTCTAACCAAAGGACGAGTTTACTGCTCAGCAGTTCGCTCTGTCCTACCTTATGGCTGCGAAAAATTGACAATCAGAGTAGAAGATATTCGTAGGTTGCTGGTTTTTATTCATAGGTGTCTCCGAAGTTTTGTTCATTTATCTTGGGACTGTCGAGTAAGCAATTCTGTTGTTAGGAAACGGGTCCTAGCTAAGGATGGCAGATCAATAGATGAAGCATTGAAACTTCATCAGTTGAGGTGGTTGGGACATATGATACGAATGCTCAAACACCGATTGCCTCATCGAGCGATGTTTTGTGGTGTAGGAGTAGGTTGGAAATTTAACTATATTCGAATCCAATACTCGTCATTTAAGTAGTAACTTTTAGATAACACTACACTGTATACTACTCATAAGCCACGTTGCAAGTAGTATCCAACTACACTAGCACTATCTTATACTTTGTCATCTTACTTACTTACGCCTGTTACCCCCAATGGAGCATAGGCCGTCCACCAGTTTCCTCCAACCAACTCTGTCCTGGGCTTCCCTCTCCAGTTCTGTCCAATGTTTGTTCATTTCTCTCATATCTTTCTCTATTTCTCTGCGTAATGTGTTCCTTGGCCTTCCTCTTTTCCTTTTGCCTTGAGGGTTGCATATGAGGGCTTGTCTCGTGACGCAGTTAGGTGCTTTTCGTAGTGTGTGTCCTATCCACTTCCACCGCTTCTTCCTGATTTCCTCATCCACTGGAATCTGGTTTGTTCTCTCCCACAGTAGGCTGTTGTTGATCGTGTCTGGCCAACGAATCCGAAGTATTTTGCATAGTCATCTGTTAATAAACACTTGTATCTTATGGATGATGCCTTTGTCATTTATTTTCCTATAAATAATATTATAATTATCCCATATACAAACAATGTTTGTTTTCTTAATCCTTACCTTAAGATGAATGAAGCACAAAAACGTATGAATGAAGAATTAGAATTATTAGAATCGAGACAAAAAACTCAAATTAATGAATTAGAACAAAGTATACATTATCGTCTATGTGAATTAGAACAAAGTACCAATGAAAAACGTAATGCTTTAATTGATCAAGAAACTAAACGTTTACAAGAATTAGAAAATCGACATCAAAATGAATTACGTATCTATTCAGAATCGTTACCTCGTATAAAAGCAGTAAGTTAGTAATTGGGTATTTTTTATTTTTCTCTATATACTACTAGATTGTTAATAATGTATTCATCTTTTTTCATTATTGTGTTCGTCACTAAGTATGCTTGAGGCTATTACGAGTTTACCTTAGTCGATAAACGCGAACGAGACTTTTACCAGCTTCCAGGGAGGCTACCTTGAATCCCAAAGTAAGGTAAGAAGGCTTTGTAAGAGTAGAAAGTATATTCTACAAACACCCAGCAATCACAGTACAATCAAGCATACAACTCTCGTTTATTTATACATCATAGAAACGTCTTTGGGACAGTTAAGAAAATAACACACTAAAATACACAGCAGCCAATCACAGCCATGGATTTTCCTGGTGGGAATCGCAATCTCAAGGTCAACTGATCAGCCCATGCTGGGGATGTGACATCCCCAACATTCCTCCCTTTTTTAATAGCGTGTGCTCCTGGGGTCGACTTGCACCTTGACTGTCGTTCGCCGCTGTCTGAGAGGGTACCTTCGGGAACGAAGAACAGCTTGCTGCTGAGTTTCTTCTCGTGTCGGGCCTGCCGGTAGGTTCAAGGTATCAAGCAAGATGTCAAGGGGAAGGCTTTCTGCTCTTGATGGGCGATCTGGGGCTAGCCGTCTGCGTATCTGATTTCAATGACGTGACCATTTATCACCTCCTACCTCTACTTCGTACATAACTCGACCAACTCTTGTGACCACTCTCGCTTCTGCCCAAGGACCATGGTTCGTTCTGTAGTCGCGGGCAAACACAGGACATCCTACTTCGTAGGCGGATTGTCTTTGCTGCTTTGTCTCTACTGATGAGAGTGCATTAGTCGAATGCATCAGGCTGTGGATCGTTTTCAATCTTCTTCCCATCAGGATTCCAGCTGGGGACTTTCGCTCCGGTAACAATTCATTTGGTGTTGTCCGATAGACGTACAAGAAATTTTGCAACGCTTCGGCTGGCGTCCCCTCCCCTTTTGACTTAAGCAGTGCTCTTTTAAACGTGTCCACAAACCTTTCCGCCTGCCCATTCGATTGCGGGTGGTATGGTGGCGAGCGTAAGTGTTTAATGGCTAGCCATTGAGAGAAATTCTGGAATTGGGAAGAGGTGAATTGAAAGCCATTGTCGGATACGACCACATCTGGTATGTCATTTCGTGAGAAAATTTCAGTCTTAGTTGTAGTGGGCGGCATAACGAGGCTGATTTCTGGCCATTTTGAGAAGACGTCGACGACAATTAAATACGTAGTTCCATTAATTGAACCAGCGAAGTCGACATGTATCCTGGACCAAGGATGCTCAGGTTTTGGCCATGAAACCGGCGGAATTTTGGCATTCATCTTTGCCGCCTGCTGACACCGCATGCATTTTTCAACCAACGCTGTGACATGTTGATCCATGTGAGGCCAGTATGCATGACTCCTGGCTATGGACATTCGTATGAGAGAAAATCATAGTTTTTCTCTGAAATATTCAAATTCTTATTGGTTAAGTTGTAAGTTCAAAACCCTGTCCATCTTCTTGGGTATTTACATACTGATTCAAAAGCTGAGTGTATAAAGTTGTTTTCCGAAAACGTAATACATCATGAAGTAATAGTATAATTTAAGTTCAAGTTGTGGTGTTTTGAAATAATTAATCACAGACTGACAATATGTGCCTGATTTATTGTTTACGTTAAGATTATATATGTATGTAGCATAAGCCTACAACTTAATCATTCATAAGTTTGCATTGTCAATGTTGTGTTCTTCCAATCTGGATAGTGTTATGATGAGCGGTCTCCTAGATCTCAAGTGTGATACTCACTGACCCATCGAATTAAGTACCTGAACGAGAAGGTCAGAGTGGAAGAGAAAGTCTACTCGGCTACCGGATTATCTTACATAAATATTCATTTATGTAATAAACATCCTTACGCCTTTAGAAAACCAATCCATTTATTGGTCAATCATGTACATTTCTGATTGTCATCAAGTGACCTTTTTCGGTAACTTCTGATTGGATATCTACATTAGATGGTTTAGTTGTTATCATAATTATGAACAATCTCAATAACATGTACTTTAAAGCGAAATGAGCTATTAGAATGTTGACTAACAGTTGATTCTGTTGATCTGAAAATAGGAGACTGTTGGTCAGTTCTTGTGAAATTCTAATAGCTCACTTCTTTACATAGTACGTGCTGATGATGTTGTTTAGAATAGCTATGAAAACTTCACTACTACATACCCAATTGTTCGATATAAATATTCTGCGTTATGTCAATGAATGTTAATTTTTCATTCATCAATCTTGAAGAGTAGTCAGTGAAAAACTCACTAATCATCTAGTCCGAATATACTAGACATGATCTGTCGTTATTTTCAAGAACTTGGGCAAATTATCTTCAACATTTTATTTTACTATTAATTAACATTTGAGAATGAATCAGTGCAAATATTTGCCTATTTATTTAGCTGAACAAAAGTTTCCTATAGACATACATACTATCTGTTACGCCTGCACGTAAACACGTCAACTTGATATACTTGAACTATTACGAGTTTACCTAGTCAGAAAACGAGAGCGAGGATCGAGGATCCGGCGACACGACATGCTACTCAAATCCGATTATCCCAACCCCCATATTGAGTAAAAATAAGAAGACTTGATATGAAGTAGAACCTGTATTCTACAAGCATCCAGAAAGTACGAGGTCCAAATCCAGAAGAGAATCAGGATCCGGGACCGAGCCCTGGTCGTGGTCATAAAACGTTACAGATAATGCGTATTTATACATTTTTGTCGAATAGGAAACAGCATCGAATTCTGTGGCATTGACAGTTAAGTCGACCAATAGGAAGCAACATTTGAAATGACATTGACAGTCCGGATGGCCAATAAGAAACAACATTGAAGTATTTGACATTGACAGTTAAAAACGACTATAATTTTGACCAATAGAAATCGACCAATAGGATTTGACGAATATTTCTCTTAGGATATTGGATAAATATCCTAACACTATCATACTGAAATCTGTCATTTCATACTCAACCACAACAACAACTACAATACATTCATTTGTATTTATTATATTTCAATCTTCACATTGATATTTAAGATTACAATTGATCATTCTGGCGTTTGTGTCCCAATATTGCCGTTACTTCACAAGCATTATTTGTGTGTAACAGTGGAATCCAGGATGTGCGTTTCGTTGTATTTGTGACTCTTCAGCTGGATGTATGTACTACATCTCAGAATTGATGTTTGCTGTGGGACGCGAACCAAGTAGTGTTCGTTTCAAACTCCATCGCAGCATTATCGTTCCTAACTAAATGAGTAGATAATACGATGATGTTTTTTTTTAAAACAAACGGTACTGGGTTCGAGTCTTTGAATGAACATGAACACTATCTATCTATTTATGCTTTTATTATTATAATACAATTATCTATTTTTGTACTTTAGTTATTAAAAGAACAATTTGCACAAGAATATAAAGAAGATTCATTTAAAATAAATTTTAACACTTATCGATCCAATAATAGTCCAAAATCTCATCGACATAGTAGATTACCAATTCATTTATCAAATTTAACAAATCTACGTTGGGGTTCACTTTCGAATTCTAGTACAAAATTAAATAGTATGTCAGAATCTCGTGCAAGTCGTATTATCACTTTATTCTCGACAGAATTAACGAATAATAACAGCGATGTTAATGATAATAATGATGATAGCAATAACAATTATCATAATTCAAGTCCTTCGGTTGCGATGTGAATGAATTCTCATTGAAACAGTTAGACAACAATATATATATACATACACATATTTATATGATGTAATCGTTCAATATTCAACATCATATACAATCAACACTTTATTCTCCTTATTATTATTTTTCTTTTTTTTTAAAAAATCTTTGTTTTAATCCAACCATTGTAATTATAAACACAACACATTCTTCTAAGTGCCTAGTGTGTGGTGGTGAGTGCTTCAACATTTTCACAAATTTTGATTATTTTTTTTTATTTATTTCAAAACAATCCATTGATATTATTTGTAATTTGTAGAATTGATCATGTTGTACACGTCCAATGTTATCTATCATTCTCTGAGTTTTGTTGATTAAAATTAAGAAAGGAAAAAATTGTCTTCCATGATGATGATTGATTGATTTATAAATAATTAATTGAACATTGAAATTTTTTTTTGTTTTAATGAAGTGAAACAATTAAAAATTAGAAAATACAATGAATGATAAAGAATAATAACACAATGCATATCTTTTTAAATTATTATTTTTCGTTTTTTTTTTAAAAAAATTTTATATTGTTATCTTTTTGTTTTTTACAATTTTTCTATTCATCAGATGAAGAGTACAGTTGTATTTTTCAAAAAATCAATATGCTCCTTTAATTTTCTTTTCGTATACAGTTAAATCACATAATAATGATGATGATGATGTAGAAATCTTATGTATGGTAAACACTTTTTTCCGAGTATATATAAATATATATATATATATTTATTTATGCCTTCAACGAACTAATTTATTTGACTTTTCACAAAAAACGACTAAGTGGTGGTTTTGTGTGTATGTATTTTTGTTGTATTTGAGGGTTGTGGAGATTGTTGATTTGCTTTTGGTTTCGATCGATTCTTGTGAGCGGGTTCATGGATGTGCGCTAATGATAAGTCCTATGGTAGGACAGTAGTAGTTGAACGTGTAGACCGCTTCACTTATCTTGGGAGTCTCATCAGTGTCGATGGCCTGGTGACTGACGAAATCTCAGCTCGGATACAGAAGGCCCGATTGGCTTTTGCCAACCTTCGTCACTTATGGCGTAGGCGAGATATCCGTTTGCTGACTAAAGGACGAGTGTACTGCGCAGTGGTTCGCTCCGTCTTACTTTATGGCTATGAAACATGGCCAATGAGAGTAGAAGATATTCGTAGGTTATTGGTTTTCGATCATACGAGTCTTCGAAACATTGCTCGTATATCCTGAGACAACCGAGTGGGCAACGCTGTTATTAGGAAACGAGTGCTAGGCAAGAATGGTTAGAGACCTTGAACGACAGGGCTCAAAATCGTTTGCAATGGCGCCGTTGCATTTATTCTTTGTATTCTCTCAAATCCTAATCTTCTGGATTCTTTAACTTTGTAAACTTTTCCCACTGAATCATACTTCTTGAATAATATCTTCTAATCCTAACCTCTCCGATTACTTCTAATACCTTTACTACCTCTTCTACTATTGGATTTGAATTGACAATTACATCTCTGTGCTAATGTAGTATGGCAACCTGAACTGATGTACTTACGTACGAAGTTCTACGTTGCATCTGACTGACTGACTGCCCTATTCTAGGACGAAACGGCCGTCCAGTACTTTCACGTTTAATATTGGTTGATTCATGATTTCAGTGAAAGAGATTTTAGTTTGAGATGTTTTGAATAATAGAAATTAACCTTTATTTTTATGGTAGATATGTTGTTCTGATGTGCTTAAGTCTCTAAGCTAGTATAAGATTGTGTACTTTAGTTGTTAAAGTAACGAGATAGGTGAATCAGAGTTTAAACCTGCAACTGACAATCGGTCTTATGATAGTGATTTTCTCTGTAGATTCAGTGCACATATACCCAATGTTCTTCTTCAGTTTATTGTTTAGCGCTTCTGATATCATACTCTAGAATTATATAGTTATCATTTATTTCCCAAGTTTCTTACTTGTCCTCTAAATGCTTTAATGCGGTGGGTTCTGGAGCAGAGTTCGCTCTCCTTCGCTAAATGTTGCTTCACGAGTGGCTGGTGACTGCACCTGAACTAGTGATAGGGGATAAAGCAGTTTGACCGCTTCACTTATCCAGGGAGTACCATCAATGCTGATGGCCTAGTGTGTGACGAAATCTCAGCACGGATACAGATGGCCCGACTGACTTTTGCCAACATGCGTCACTTATAGCTTAGGCGAGATATCCGTTTGCTTACCAAAGGACGAGTGTACTGCCCAGCAGTTCGCAGCGGAACGCAGCCAGCCAGAGTAGGAAGTATTCGTAGATTACTGGTTTTCGATCATAGGTGTCTCCGAAGCATTGCTCGTGTATCGTGGGACAACCGGGTGAGCAAAGCTGTTGTTAGGAAACGGGTACTAGGTAAGAGTGGCAGGTCAATAGATGAATTATTAAAACTTCATCAGTCGAGGTGGTTGGGACATGTGTTGAGTATTACCAACCACCGACTACTTTGTCGAGCTGTTTTGTGGTGTAGGTTGGAAGAAAGCCTGGGGCGGCCAAACCAAAACATGGCAGAAATCCATGAAGTCATTGACAAGTGGACTGAGCCATATTGGTAGGTGTCGACTATCTGGTTGGGGCCAACGAGGTGATAATACTCGATGGTTAGAGACTGAATGAAATGGCTTGAAACCGTTTGCAGCGGCACAGGTACATACATTCTCTGTGTTCTCTCAAATCCTAACCTTCAGAGTTCCTCATCACCTTTATATTTTTAAGTTTTTTTCAGAAGATTCTACTTCTTGAATAATATCCGTAAACCCTAATCTCTCTGATTCCTGCTAAAAATTCTACTACCTCTACCTCTGTGTTAATGTGGTGTGGCAACTTGAACTGATGTATGTGCGTACGAATTTCTACGTTGTAACTGACTGAAATGCTCTTATATAGTGATGCATATATAGCCACTGCCAGGGAACATCTACTCACTGCCTTTACACGATGATGTTTCTTATAAAACTGAGTAAACGCCGATCAAATGCCTGGTGATTAAAATGGAGTTGGAGGACCCCGCCTAGGAGGGTTGACAAACCCTGGTCGCGAACCATGGATGCACATAAATTTTTCAGAGTAACAAATGTTTTATCTCACTGGTTATCATGGAATCGCATACCCCAATGCCTTGTGTATTAGACCTTTATGTTGAAGACTCAAGGAGTGTCTTTGTAATGACCACCAGCTTCCGTTTGGGTACCTGGGAGCATCCTAGTTCTCACATGATTTGTAGCGCATATCTATCCTAGTGTCTCTTTATACCAACATTTATATGTCCAAATTAATATTACTTGATGATAGTAGTCGTCCTTTAAAACAATTTTAGTTCACAGTTCAGTTTACATCCGTATGTTTCACAGATTCAGTATTTTAAATTTGTCCGTCAAATATTTGATACACTGTAAATGAACAACATGCGATTTATACACACGTTTATATGTAAACTGAAAATTTAATTTTATGGATACGATTAATTTGACTACTTCAAATATTATTGTTTGTGATGTGAATGTGTACCTGACTACTATCTCATTCTAAGTGAGGAATACCGGTTTATATTTACAAGTGTATTAGGTGCTACTCGTGAGTAGTATGAAGCCGAGAAGTTTCAACCAAAGAGAAGAATGTTAGGATATTGAAGAACAAGGGATGTTCAGAGTAGTTTGAAGACCTGCGGAAGAGGAGTGATAGAAGGGTAAGTATTGTGTTTTCATTGCTGAGCAAAAAAGAAAATGACTGAAAACTAAGTGCACATATTTTGTAACTGTCTGTGTTTTTCCCCAGTCAGTCAGGTGCAACGTAGAACTTCGTACATACCTGAGAGCCAGTTCAAGTTGCATACTGGGAAGTTGTCTGCCTAAATCAAAGTAGTAGTAGTCATAGCAGTAATAGTGGTAATGGAAAAGTTTAGGGATCAAAGCTGTGAACTGACCAGTTACAAACCAGTTAAATTTTAGGGAAGTTATGACGCCCACAGAAACGTAGAATTCGGGCGAAGTCACTGGTTACAACTGTCAATGACTTGATGCAATGTTTTAGTTGGGCCGCCTTCTAGGTGGCTGAGCAAAAGTAAAAGATGATCCAACTGCCCCAGTTGATGAAGATTCACTTCTTCGTCAATCGACTTGCCATCTTTACCTATTACCCTTATCCTAACGTCATTGATGCTTACTTGATTGACCCAGTATATACGAGCAACGCTGCAAGAACACCAGTGACCGAATGCTAGTAACGTACGAATATTCTCTATTCTTACAGGCCATGTTCCACATCGATCGAAACGAATTGCTGAGCAGTAGACTCGTCCTTCAGTTAGCAGACGGATATCTTGCCTACGCCATATGTGACGCAAGTTGGCAAAAGTCAATCGAGCCTTCCGTATCCGTGCTGAGATTTCGTCAGATATCAGCACTGATGAGACTTCCGGGATGAGTGAATCGGCCGACACGCTCAACTAATTCATTATGTTCATAGTTTCTATCACTATTATTAATTCTGTAACTTCATACTAAAAGCAGTAATTAACCTATTAATCATGTTACTCAAGTATGAGCCATATTAAGTATTAGGGCTAACGATACTACCACCCGATTTCCTACACGAACTTAGAGCAGAGTTTGAACACGAGAGACTTAGTGGTCGAAAATCGAACTATCACTTTACTTCCTTATACTTAATATCTGTTTGATATTTGACAAAAATGATTAAACAGTAAAACAAAATTCAGTAGTTATCAAAAGTAACGATTACTTTCGTTCGATTAGGAAAAAGTGATGTTACAATTTCTGAATTGTTTAATTTTTTTTTGTAAATACAAAAATGTCTTGTTTATATGTACAATGATATCACATTTAATATATGTAAAAGCTATGCGAGCGATTTCCGTGGACGTTTCGAATCTATAAAAGTCAAACAAAAACATTAAAAATGATTTAGATTAATTCATTTATTTTAGGCGTAGACAATTTAAGCAGATTTTACATGATTACATCGTGAAATACAAAAAAAAAATCCGTGGCATGACCAACGCACTGTGATATAAAAGAGACGGGGGAGGGAAGAAGAGATTGACTTTTAAGGGATTTCATTCCTTGAAGTAGTGTACAGATATGAACATATACTACCTAATACGATGGTGTTCATGATCTTGCTTATAAGACCCAGCTATCTTATTACTTAGAATAATTCAATACTGTACAATGTTCAACTAGTAACTAGTCCCCAAAATCAAAACACTTCTAGGGTAGGTAGTTAATTATAAGAATGCGAAGGAATCATAGTGTTAAAAAATTTAACGTGTTTATGATTCGTATTGAAACCATGAATCGATCATTGTTTGACCACGAATAGATACCTAAATGCACTGGATGCCCGTCTCGTCCTAGTACAGTACAGCAGTGCAAATCCATGAACCGAATCCAGTACTTGCGGTGTCCAATACGAACGCTTAACTTCTAGACCAGTGAGCCGGCACCCAACGGTGTTAATTCCAAATTTCAACCAATTCATTATATTGAAGCTGAGAATGCACCGATCGATAAGCTCAAACATAATCCTGCATTGAATATGTATTAATCTAATCTATGTCCTGAACTAATGACAATAATTTATCATATGAAATCTCAACAATGTACAAGATCAGTTAACTAATATACAGCTGAAAAATGGAACTATTGGAAGGCTTAATACATTAATCGAAAGTCATATACGTTATATAACAATCGGGGATAAGGGAAATAAGTAGTATAATATGATAAGAGAAATTTTGGATGTTAACAGATTGAAAGACTGATGAACTTAGTAAGAACAAATGCTGAGCTTTCGTTCGTACACTATTAGAGTTTCTTTTGTACATATACGAAAGACTTTAACATAAAAAAAAGAATAAAACGTACTATACCTCCGTGGATGGAAAACTGAAGACGAATTTTGTCGCTGCGACGCTCTCTTGTTTTATGTCACCGAACTAATTTAAGAGTACACAAACTTAGGCAGTATGAATGTCTGAATTATTTTCAACAACTCAATTTACAGTATCCTGTCGCTTAACAGGATAATATCTGCATACATCAGATGAAAAAGCCTTAATTGGGTGTATATCATAGTTTTCTATTTAGCGAATAACATCACTTTTTAATTATCTATCATTATTTCTGTTACAATCATGGAAAAATACAAATTTCAAGCGTGGAAATTTGTTGGTCATTTACTGATTACTTTGTTGAGTCCGAATAATTTGTCATTGTGCGAAATCGAAAATAGAAAAGAACCAAAATCTACTTGCTTATCCGAGTTCTATCAATGGCCATAGTCCAAGTAATCTGTATTACGGATATCATTTTGATTATGAAATAATATTAGCTAAAAGAAACACCATGGATCGATAACTGAACGACTTTTTTGCTCTAGTACACATTTCTTAACATGAAATGTGCATGAGATTGAACTCGATTTGTTGACATTAAACATTACAAAGCACAACATCTTTAGACTATTTAATCAGGAATGATAAATCAAGACACGATCAAATTATCTGGCTTCCTGTAATTTCGCAATAGTTCGTGATAGGAACTACTTTGCAATTGATAAAAACTTTCGTTTAAATTTAAACGGATAGTTTCATAGTAGTTGGGTGACGAGTCAATGTAAGATATTAAAACGGGAAAATTATATTTGTAAGTGTTACGCCTGCACGTAAACACGTCAACTTGATATACTTGAACTATTACGAGTTTACCTAGTCGGAAAACGAGAGCGAGGATCCGGAGACACATGCTACTCAAATCTGATTATCCCTACCCCCATATTAAGTAAAAATAAGAAAAGACTTGATATGAAGTAGAACATGTATTCTACAATCACCCAGAAAGTACGAGGTCCGAACCCAGATGAGAATCAGGATCCCGGACAGGGTCCTGGTCCTGGTCGTGGTCATAAAACGTTATAGATAATGCGTATTTATACATTTTGGTCGAATAAGAAACAGCATCGAAGTCTGTGACATTGACAGTTAAGACGACCAATAGGAAGCAACATTTGAAGTGACATTGATAGTCAAGACAACCAATAAGAAACAACAATGGAGCACGTGACATTGATATCTAGGACGACCAGTAGGAATTAACCAATAGGAATAGACCAATAATTCTCTTAGGATATTGGATCAATATCCTAACAGTAAGACTCGACGATTGAAATGTTTAAGTAAATATTCATACTTTCAATAAAATAGAGGCCAAACATCCTAATTATCGAATAGAAATCGATGTGAGAATGAAGGAATGTAAATTTTGTTTAAACCAAATTCTTAAATCCTAAGAAGACTTAAGAAAACTAGAGAACAAGTCACCAATAGCAGTGTACTCATACAATTGATTTCAACAGTACATGTATCATTGGTAAAATTATCTGATTTTATCAGTCAATCAGTTATAAAGTAGAACTTCGTATGTACGTACATCATTATAGGTTAACATACCATATTAGCACAGAGAGATCGCATAGTCAAATCAAAATCCCATAATAGTACAGATAGTAGAAGTATTGGCAAGAATAAAGAAGATTATGGATCGAAGATAATGATTCAAGAAGTATAATTCAGGGAAATAAATTTAAAAAGCGAAGGTCCACGAGGAATCCAGAAAATCAGAATTTGAGAGAACACAAAGAATGGCTGTGTATGCGCCACTGCAAGCGATTTTGAGTCCTGTCTTTCAAGATCTCACGGACTCCAACGAGGTATGATTTTAATAACAATCCCTACGTTTTTTTCTTAGGTCACATTTTACTGGCAAATTTATACATCTACTATCTTAACAAATAACAAACTTTTCATACCGAATGTCTCACACACTTTTCACGTTGGTAACATGATTGGATGATTTGTTTAGCTTACAGATAACCGATGTGGAAGAGAATAAACCAGATTCTAGCAGAGGAAGAAATCTGGAAGTGGATAGGACACACACTGCCGAAAGCACTCAAATGCGTCACGTGACAATCCCTAACTTGGAATCCTCAAGGCTAAAGGAAAAGAGGAAGACCAAATAACACATCACTGTGAGAAATGGAGACAGACATGATAAGAATGAACAGCAGTTGGGTAGAACTAGAAAAGAAGGCTGACGAAAGAATAGGTTGGAGACTACTGGTCGGAAGCCTTTGCTTTATCGACGATGATAGCAGGAGTAAGTAACAGATAATCGATTAACCATGGACTTATATTTGACATTTTCAATTAGAGTTATGGAGATTAGTGTATTTTTACACATTTTAAATCATCGACCAATCATTCTTAGACCACCATTAGAAGAAACCTGGAAGCACTGGACGGCCGTTTCGTCCTGGTATGGGACTCATCAACAGTGCTCATCCACGACTCCTGCATCTCGCAGGATTCGAACCCAGGATCTTCGATCTAACGCCCAACCTCTGGACCACTGGGCCGGCATCCAACGGTGTCAATGTCTAACTCTGATTGATCTAGGGATTTTGCGCAACCTCACCCATTTGTCTTTGGTAGTTACTGCCTACCTACACCCGGACAGGGTTGAACTCCACTGGTGGTCACGTCTTCTCAACTAGAACTCTGAGAATTTCCTCACGAAGCAGCTAATCACTAGTGAGCACATGTTACGATATTTAAATTTAAAATAAAAAAATACACAAAAACAATTAAACTTACCTTGTAATTTTTCAACAACAGGTCGTTTATGATTCTTATTATTCTTCTTATCATTACTATTACTATTATTCATTGTATGATTAGATTTATTACGAGTTAACCATAGAGTTTTATTATTTCTATATAATTCTAATGATAATTTCATATAAATAAAATGTCCATATTTATGTGATTGAAGTTGATTGGCAATTGGATTTAATTGTTCAGCTATTAATTCTTTATACATGATTGATTGTGGCCATGTATTTGTCACTGTCAAAAATGCTTCTACAATATGACTACCATTAGGATCACATGCTAATACAGTGAAACTATTCTATGAATAGATAGAGGAAAGAAAGAGAACTATTGACGGAGATGCCTTTACATATCTGAGCAGTATCATTAACAATCACGGTGGATCTGATGCAGATGTAAAGGTGCGGATCGGCAAAGCAAGGGCTGCATTTATACAATTGAAGAATATTTGGAACTCCAAACAACTATCACTTACTTACTTACTTACTTACTTACGTCTGTTACCTCCAATGGAGCATAGGCCGCCGACCAGTTTTCTCCAACCTAGTCTTGGGCTCACCTATCTAGTTTTCGTTCACTCTTTGCATGTCTTCCTCTATTTCTCGGAGTAATGTTTTCCTTGGCCCTTCCTCTGACCTTGAGGAATCCATGTGAGGGCTTGTTTTGTGACACAGTCAAACAACTATCAACCAACGCCAAAATCAGAATTTTCCATACGAATGCCAAGACAATTCTACTGTATGGGGCGGAAACTTGGAGAACTACCAAAGCTATCATACAGAAGATACAAGTATTCATTAACACTTATTTACACAAAATACTTCGGATCCGTTGGACAGACAGCATCAGAAACAACCTACTGTTGGAGAGAACAAATCAGATTCTAATGGAGGAGGAAATCAGGAAGAAGCGGTTGAAGTGGATAGGACACACACTGAGAAAAGCACCTAACTGCGTCACAAGACAAGCCCTTACATGGAACCCTCAAGGCAAAAGGAAAAGAGGAAGGCCAAGGAACACATTATACCGAGAAATAAAGAGAAAGATATGGGAAGAATGAACGAAAATTGGACAGAACTGGAAATGGAGGCCCAGGAAAGAGTAGATTGGAGAGTGCTGGTCGACGGCTTATGTTCCATCGGAGGTAACAGGCGTAGGTAAGATCATAGATATGGGAAAAAACAGCTTTTATTATCAAAATATGGACGATAATGAGCAAAAACATGAGTGTATGGAATCAAATTGAAAGTAATGAAGTGTTTTTGTAGTTGATTTATGATATACATTTGTATTCTTGAGTGAACAATTGTTACGTAATAATGAATTGCCTATAATATTTGAATATGGTCGGTGTCGTGGATGTTGGGTGGGGTAGGAGAGGGAAAAACACAGCTTAAGATTGGTTAATGGCATAAATGCATCCACTTCATAATTTTGATTGACAGTATTCTTACACGAATATCTTACCAGATCATATCCTTAATATGTGGATTATCCTATTATGATGCAGTTATCTCAAATCGTTTACCATACATCTTGCAGTGCTAATATAGTATGAAAACTTGAGCCAATGTATATTCGTACCACACTTTCGACGTCGGCTATGACTAAGTGACTGGTCGATATAAGTAGTAGTTCTTTCTTTTAAAATTTATTCGATTCAAATTCAAGAACAGATTACGTAAACTAAATTTCACTAGTTCAAAAATATTGTTAATAATTTTATGAAACTGAGTTGTCTATGAAAATTTTATCGCACACAAAGGAAACATAAAGAAATATTTCAAGGTACTGGATTCGAGCCCCAAACTGAACATCAACACAGAGATACAGGTACACCTAGTTGACCAGTCACAAATAAGATGAAACACTCATCCTGTATACCACTGACAGTTAAGATTTATTCATTCTATAGAAACTTATGAGTAAATGGTTATATCAAATTAATTCACGTAGGGTGCACGTTTTCACTTGTTGACTCAGAATACAGAAATGACATATATCTGTTTAGTGAAGATCTGAAAAAATGCAGTCTTCTGACCACCTTCAGCAACAATGCAGCCATGTTCGGGATACGATTCTCAATCTCGAAATGCAAAATGTTACTTGCATTGACACCTGAACTAGTGATAGGTGTGAAGTAGTTGAACGTGTTGACCGCTTGACTTATCTTGGAAGTTCCATCAGTCCTGATGGCCTGGTGTCTGACGAAATCTCGGCATGCATGCAGGTAGCCCGACTGGCTTTTACCGAATAGTGTCACCAATGGAAGATATCTGTCTGCTAACCAAACGACGAGTTTAATGCACAGTAGTTAGTTCGGTTCTACTTTACAGATGTGAAACATGACCACCAAGAACAGAGGACATTTTTAAGTTACTAGTATTCAGTTAGAGATGTCTTCGAAGTATTGACCATATCTTCTGGAACCATCGAGTGAGCAATGATGTAGTTAGGTGCATACGCCATTCACTCCGTCAGGATCCTAGGTGGTTTGGAATCATGGTTTTCTTACTCTTCTATAAAGATTCTCCATACCCACCTACTCGGTTTAAACACTGGACTCTGCCTTTTAGTACTGTGAATTTTGTAAGCAACAGTGGGTAAGACTTCCCTAGCAGTAGTTATATACGCATGACTATATGAGAGCATTTAGCGGGAGTGTAGACTCTTCCCACTCTCGATCGTACCATGATTCCAAGGGAAGGCCTGAAGTTTTGCAATGCAATATAAACTATCCGTCATAACACCGCTATTATATCATCCACAGAACAAAAAACAAGAAATAAATATCAACTAACCATTAAAGATTTGAATAAAGTAATTTTACGTTCATTCATAATTGATTCCGATGAGATGAATGCTTCCAAAACTCTTGACAATTGATTATGTTGTGCCCATGCAGTTAAACATTTCGATGATTGACTCAATAAACTAATAATCACTTTCATAGGATAAGCATAAGTGAATTTAAATAATGTGATTACAAATAAACATCCTGGTAAACTGACTGGATTAATTAAATCTTCTTCGCTGTTTAAATGTTGATTATTCTTATTCTTATTATCATCACTATCATCTTCAGTGGTAACATTGACTTTGTGTTCAATGGATTGATTATTGATGTAATCATTTAACTCATTCAAAGTTATCATACCAATAAGACAACGAATGAATAAATTGTCTTTACATATGGAATTATCTTTTTTAATAAAGCCAAAAATCGTTGGTAACATCTATAAGGAATGTTACAAAAAAAGAGAGGATAAATAAATTCAATAAATAATAATTCAGTGAAAATGGTCAATCAGTCAATTACAAGAGAGGATTTCCTACGTACGCACATCATCAGTTCAAGTTGTCATACTGTAGTGAACGAGAACACAAGTGGGGGCAACCCAACTCTATTTAACGAAAATTATAGAGTTACTCAGTAAAATCGGAAAACCATATCGTAAATTGTTAATTTGCAAAATATCAGTTCATCATATCGAACTGGACTGTTCCTGTTGCAAAACATCAATCCATTGTCACTACACTATTCATGCGTTTCATACAAATTCCATTGTGTTCTATCTAACTCTTCCTTTCTTGATCTTCCCCCCCATCTTCTGCTGCTAGACATTACGTTGACACTCACGTCATATACTACTTATAAGTAGCTCACACCACAATACCACATTAGTATAGAGACGTAATTATCAATTCAAATCCTATAGTAGTAGAGGTAGTAGATACATTAGCAGTAATTAAAAAGCTTAATGATGGAATATATCATTTGAGATGTATACCCTAGAGGAATTGATTAAAAAGGAGAAATTCAGCGAGAACAAAAGGAATGGATGCACCTGCGCCATTACAAACGGTTTTGAGCTATGTCATTCAAGATTTCTAACTATCGATTACTTTAATCTCGAGGATCCTAACTAGCTAGTCTACATCTACGGACATGACTCAGTCCACTTGTCAACGACTTCATGGATTCCTGGCATGTTTTGGTTTGACCACCCCTAGCTTTCTTCCAACCTACTCCTACGCTACAAAACTAAGCTCGTCGAGGCAGTCGGTGGTTAGGCATACGCAACACATGTCCCAACCACCTCAACTGATGAAGTTTCAGCACTTCATCGATTGATCTGCCATTGTTACCTAGCACCCGTTTCCTAATAACAGCGTTGCTCACTCACTCCACCATGATAATATAATGAGTTTTAGCAAACTTAATTTTAGTTAAAACACAAATATTGATATAAGTAGGCGCCAAAAGATATATATGCGAACCACACAATAAAAATGAGGTTGTACACAGATAAAGAAAGAACGATAAGTATGACAAAAAAAAATGAATAGAAATTAGTGTATGACAGTGAAATTACTCAGTCAGTCATCAACAACGTAGAACCTCGTACGTACGTACATCGGTTTAAGGTGACATACCACGATAGCACAGAGATACAATGGTCGATTCAAATCGGAAAGATTAGAGTTTGAAGATGACAGTCAAATAATCATAATAATAGTGTTAAAAACAGTTCAGTTAAAGAAACTCCTTTTACTTATGTGAAAAAGAATAAAGTCACATCAAGACCACCAATAGCTTCTACTCAACTTTCGTTCAGACATAACTTACGGGGACTTTGTTCCGAAAACCTTGTAGAGGATTTACTTTCAGTCCTTCTTATCTACATGCTTCTATATTCGTAGATAAATTTGGAGGTAATTTCAGAAAGCTATTGATCTACATTTGATTGATTTAAGGAACATCTAGTGTGTGATACAATGAAAATAGTTAGGCTGTAGGAAAGCTTATCTTTAGCGCTGCTGTTTTGATCCTTTTATTAATCCTGTCTGAAATCTCACTTTTGAATGAAAGCCAGATGAAGACAGGTATTCAATTAACATTTAACTGTTTGAGACTTTCAATAATCAATCAGATTAAAAGCAATAGTATAGGACATTTGAACATAGGATATATAACTCAAAAAGATTTAATGAACTCAAGAGATAGATTATTCGAAGTAGTAGATTAACCATAAGGAAAACAATGATAAACAAATGTGCACTACACTGTAATCTGCAGTCTTTAACTACAAATAATATTCGTTGCCACTAGTCCTAGCATCCCTTAGCCCAAAAGTTAGTAAATTCATAAACAAGTACGATATCTTAGTTTGATTACAGTCAGTATTTTCGTAACATCTACTAACTGGGCAGGTGTAACATGTGGCAATTGACAATGCTGATGAACGTACATACATAATACTCTGAATCGTGTGTTGTTACGGGTATGAGGGCGATTGTGACTTCCCGGCTGCGCACACCGTTGAAGGTTATTTCTTGAGGGACCTGAAGAGGAAGATAAATTTGTGTTGGTCTTAGAGACCTGGTTGCGTGACCGTAGAGCCCAAGGGACAACTGCTTGAGGCCGGTCACGCACGGCCTTTTGATGAAAGGTTTTTTGAGTATTAGCTCCGCTCTTGAAAGCCCTTAGTGGGCACCCTTACCGCCGGAGACGGAAATCCGTGAGGTAGGGTGAGGTGTAACATTTTTAGGGTCGACCTTTTCTAACCCTTCCTTCATTGTGAGAAGGCAGCATCGCTGCAGATGCTGGTTATCCGAGGGAAACACCTTACTGCTGTCACACCCCTCCATCACAGTCAGCAGTACGACTTCGCCCTCAGACCTGGAGTAGCTGCTTTTAGTCTGATCTTTCTCCAATCGACCTTCCTGGCATGGTGGAACCCTCAGGAACATATGTTCCAGTATAGCTCGGTTGGGTCATCACGATAGGCAAGCCCGACCACCACGTCAAGGTAGCAGCTTCGGTCGGGAATACTCTGGATAATGAAAATATAAACTTCAAATATACTAAAGTATTTGAAAATATACAAGTTATTTTACTGATATATTTAAATAGTTATGGTATATATATATATAAAACAATTACCCGTAGAAATGTACGCTGAAATTCTTCCGAAGGATGTCTAATGCATAAATCAGCCAAATCTGTTAATATGCCATACTGTTTATTGGGAATGATACTACGTAACCCAAACTTGTTACTTTTACATGACTGAATAACAGTAAAAAAGTTTTTAATATCAACTGGTTTTGTTAAACGTCGAATAACTGCTCGTAACACACGGCTTGCTGTTGGATTTGACATTAGAAGATCGGCTAATGTTATAGGATTTGAATTTTTGCAATCCAAAGAGACTGCGCAGTTGGATAAAATATATGAGTTTAAAAAGTCTGCAAAATTAGCTCCTGGCATAACCTCCACAAGAAGTTCAGCGAAGTAGGAAGCAACTGGGTTGGTATAAGAGCCAAGATATCTGAAATGATAAAAGAAGGATAGAAGTGAACTAACGTAAAGGACAGACACAAATTACAACTGTATTGGTTAAGGTTTTAACATTCGTCATTAAGCTATCTGTGGTCAAATATAACTTAAAACCCCTTACGATACATAATGGCATGCACCAGATATAATTATCTACCGCCATATGCAACAACCGAAAAAAGGATGACTGCAGTTTGATTTACATTTCAGAAAAGACAGTTAATATTAGATCTAATGATTTAATGACATGGCTCAAAATGGTTTGCAATGGCGCAGTTGCATTCATCCTTTATCTCCTGTCAAATTATAATCTTTTGAATTCTTCATGACATTCTTCTTCCTCGTTTCAAATTTACTTCACTGGATTATATTTCTCGAATCATATCTTCGAACCCTAATCTCCTCCATTACAGCTAATACTTCCACTATCTCGACTACTATGGGATTTAGATTGACAATTTGACTTATCTGTGCTAATTTAGTAGGGCAACTTGACTGAATAATGAATAAGAATAGATATGTCAGTTTACAGCATCCCAACCCGCTCATAAACTCAATTTGTATGTCACATAAACATTTATATGCCGCTTTTTACTGAATAACAATATGCTTATTCAATATAATTGTACATCTAAGTTGTTTAATTTACTTAGCTTTCTTCGATATAACTGATGCATGAGGCCTTGGATCAGTTACTTAGTGCTTGGAGCACTTAGCTTACAACCAGTAGATTGAAGGTTCAAAGGTCTTTGAACTACTCTAAGGTAGTATTGATAAACCTCACGAATTAGAGCTTAAAACCGAATATATAAAACAGTGTACTATGAAGCAAGCCACTAGTTTCAGTAGTTAAGTGAATGACAATTTGTGACAACTAGCTAGTAAGATGAAGAACCTAGCTATGAAAGAAACAAACTTTATAATAGTTACAAATGAAAAGTTAATAAATACTCAAGAGATTTTCAACCAGTCTGCGCTGACCGTAGAACTTCGAACGTAAGTACATCAGTTCATATCGCCATACCACATCACCACAGAGATGTAATTGTCAATTCAAATCCAATAGTAGAAGAGGTAGTAAAGGTATTAGAAGTAATCGGAGAGGTTAGAATTAGAAGATATTATTCAAGAAGTATGATTCAGTGGGAAAAGTTTACAAAGTTAAAGAATCCAGAAGATTAGGATTTGAGAGAATACAAAGAATAAATGCAACGGCGGCATCGTAAACGATTTTGAGCCATGTCGTTCAAGGTCACTAACCATTGGTGACTTTCGTCTCGCGGACCCCAACCAGGTAGTCGACATCTACCAACATCGCTCAGTTCATTTGTCAGTGACTTCATGAATTTCTGCCATGTTTTGGTTTGACCGCCCCTAACTTTCTTCCAACCTACTCCTACACCACAAAACATAGCTCTTCGAGGCAGTCGGTAGTTAGGCCTACACAACACATGTCCCAACCACCTCAACTGATGAAGTTTCATTACTTCATCTCTTGATCTTCCATTCTTACCTAGCACCCGTTTCGTTTCCTAATAACAGCGTTGCTCACTCGGGTGTCCCACGGTATACGAGCAATAATTCATGAATTAAAAATTACAAGAGTTTGTTTTTTTCTATACTCACCTTTCAATCAAATTATTTTCTTCTAAATTCGTAATAAACAAACCAGAATATTTCATAATCTTTTTAAATTTTTTCACAAATACATCCGACAGACGAACTGATGCAACAAGTAATAATACTTGTATAAATGGACAAAGACACTCATTGACTACATGATCTAAATAAGGCCAATGAAGTTATGTTATTACTAAGAAACACCTACTTACTTTTTAATGCTTTTGTAAATAAGAACTCTTTACACAATTGAGTAAGTGATTCAATATAATTTTCATCGTAAGCTGTAACTAGTTGAACATTTGACTTGAAAGTATCTTGAGAAAAAAATAACATTATTAAGATAATAATCATAATAATAATATACTTGTTGTTTTATCCTTTTCTAAGCGAACTCCAGCTAAAATTTGTGGATAAATACGACATGTATGTGTTGCATGTGAATCAGTTAGATAGACTGATAGATTTTCTTTCATATGAGTACAAAAACTTTGTACATAATCAATAATCAATTCATCTGCATGATATTCAAATGTTTGACATTGAAATAATGCTTTATGAAGTACATGATATGCAAATTTACTATTGATAATTCGAGCCCAATTTTTGGATAGAATTTTTAGCAAAACAGTAATACATTCTACATTTGCATGTGTAATTAATTCTTCTAAACACCAGCATACTTGTGGATGTAATGCTATTTTCCAACCATCTTTTTGAAAAGCCAAAAATGTATTTAGTATAAAGCTATCTGAAAATATATAAAGTAGAAATTTTTTGAAACAAGAAATTGTTTGTCTCAAACAAAAAAATCAGCAGGTGTATGCGAAAACTTAACCAGAAAAATTTGAATATCTATTTGAAAAAATGTTGAAACTGATGTACATACATTTTAGATGAGTCAATATTATTCATACCATTAGCTCTGTCTGTTTGATACATAGGAGTTAACAACCATACTGGCTCTATGTAAAACTTATTTACAAATATTACATTTGACAATTGGTATGGTCGTTATATTGTTCTTTTCAATGGTCAGTTTGTTAATCACCACGATACCTGAGGAGTTCGTATCCAACTAATTGCATTCCCGTTCGCTACAGTTTGACTTAGAATATGCCGATGACATAGTTCTATTCGGTAAAGACGCCGACAAAATGCAGAGTCTTCTGACTACCCTAAGCAACAATGCAAGCATGTTCGGGATGCGGTTTTCCCCCTCGAAATGCAAAATGTTGCTTCAAGATTGGGTTTCATCGGCACCTGAACTAGTGATAGGGAGTGAAGTGGTCGAACGTGTAGACCGCTTCACTTATCTGGAGAGTCTCATCATTGCTGATAGCCTGGTGACTGATGAAAACTCAGCTCGGATACAAAAAGCTCGATTTCCTTTTGCTTACCTGCGTCACTTATGGCGCCGGCGAGATATCCGTTTGCCGACCAAAGAACGAGTGTACTGCGGAGTAGTTCGCTCCGTTCTCCTATATGGATGCGAAACATGGCCGTTAAGATTAGATGTTCGTCGGTTATTGGTTTTCGATCAAAAATGTCTTAGAAGCATTGCTCGTATATCGTGGGACAACCGAGTAACCAATGCTGTTGTTAGGAAACGAGTACTAGGTAAGGATGGCAGATCAATAGATGAAGTGGTGAAACTTCATCAGTTAAGGTGGTTGGGACATGTGTTACGTATGGCTAACCACCGACTGCCTCGACGAACTATGTTTTGTGGTGTAGGAGTAGGTTGGAAGAAAGCTAGGGGCGGCCAGACCAAAACATGGCAGAAACCCATGACGTCACTGACAAGTGGACTGAGTCATGTTGGTAGATGTAGGCTACCTGGTAGGGGTCCGCGAGACGAAAGTCACCAATGGTTAGAGACCTTGAACGACATGGTTCAAAATCGATTGCAATGGCGCAAGTGCATCCATTCGTTGTGCTCTCTCAAATCCTAATCTTCTGGATTCGTCAGCACCTCTACCTTTGTCTTTCTAAACTTATCTCACTGAATTATACTTCTTGAATAATATCTTCAAACCCTAGTCTGCTTCATTACCATTAATACCTCTACTATCTTTGTCATTATGGGATTTGATTTGACAATTGCGTCTCTGTGCTAATGTGGAATGGCAACATGAACTTATGTACATACGTACGAAGCTCTACGTTGTAATTGACTGATTGACTGACTGACATCAGTGACTGGTATTTAATTTTTAACACTCACTTTAAAGCTAGTAATGAATAGATATACAAAAATGACTCGCCAAAAAACTGAATAAGCAGTAAATAATTGGCATTTCATTGAAAAATACAATTTGTAATTTTACATAGACTTGGCAGAACTTACGTTTTTCCTCAGTATCAGTTATAGACGAGAGGCAATGCACACGATCTAAATAGTACTTTACAATGCCTCTTTCAACTTTTACTTGTCCCATTGGCTTGAAGATTTCTAATTTTTCCCCCTATACTATCTGGGAGAGCTATTTTTCGAAACTAAAATATAAATGACAAACATGGTAAAAACAAAGGTAATGAGTATTTAAGATGAACTGTTGTTTTAATTTAGGGCACCACTGCCAAAAATAAAACCTCATAACCACTCCTAAATTGCAGAATTATCAACCTAACAAACATACTAATCCGTTTATCTCGCCTGACATTGGTTTCTGAATGTTAATAAGGAAGCTACAGTACTATGTCCCGACCGTAGCTGCTACCATGACGTGGTGGTCGGGCTTGCCTATCGTGATGACCCAACCGAGCTATACTGGCTGGAACATATGTTCCTGAAGGTTCTACCATGCCAGACAGGTCGATTGGAGAAAGATCAGACTAAAAGCAGCTACCCAAGGTCTGAGGGCGAAGTCGTACTGCTCACTGCAGAGGGGTGTGACAGCAGTAAGGTGTTTCACTCGGACAACCGGCATTTGTAGCGATGCTGCCTTCTCACAAGGAAGGAAGGGTTAGAAAAGGTCCGCCCTAAAAATGTCACACCTCCCCTAACTCATGGATTTCCGTCTCCTTGGGTAAGGGTGCCCACCAAGGGCCTTTAAGAACGGAGCTAATCCTCTAAATACCTTTCATAAAAAGGCCGTGCGTGACCGGCCTCCAGCAGTTGTCCCTTGGGCTCTGCGGTCACGCACCAACACTAATCTATCTTCCTTTTCAGGTTCCTCAAGAAACAACCTTCTACGGTGTGGGCAGCCGGGAAGTGACAACCGCCCTCATACCCATAACAGCACGCGAGACCAAATTGGTCAAAATCAAATCCTTCCTACACCCCCTAGTACCTCTCTTATCTCCACGACTAACTCTTCTCACATTCATTCATCACAGTGCACAGCTAATGCAGACGATACGAGTTCGCAAAACGTCGTTCCTGATCTCCTTAAACCTCACTCTAGACTGTATGTTGGAGCATTTAATGTACGGACATTGTGTCAAATAGGGCAACAGGCTTCCTTAGCTAAGATCTTAGAATCTCGTGCCATCGATGTATGCTGCGTCTCGGAAACGCGCATACAGGATCCGAGTCACGTCATACACTTGGCCACACCATGTCAAAATAAAGAAGCAGCTCGATTTACTCTTCGTGTATCCGGTAGCCCTGATGCTGCTTCCCGGGGTCTTGCTGGCGTAGGCATAGCATTGAGTCGTAGGGCAGAACAATCTCTCCTTGACTGGATCCCGATAGATAGTCGATTGTGCGCTGTCCGACTAAACGGGACAGTAAGGACTCGGAAAGATAGGGACAATCGCCGTTGCCTCTTCGTCGTATCTGCCTATGCCCCCACTGAATGCAGTTCAGACGAGATTAAGGATGAGTTCTACAGAAAACTTTCGGACCTCCTCCAAAAAGCTAGGCGCTCTGATATAGTAATAATGGCTGGTAACTTTAATGCTCAAGTAGGTAGACTAAGTGAGCAGGAGAGACACCTAGGTGGATGTTATGGTGTCCCGGCTCAGAGAACAGACAATGGTGACCGTCTGTTGCAAGCATGCTCAGACAACCGCCTATTCTTAGCAAACACTAACTTTAGGCATAAGGAAAAGCATCTGTTGACCTGGCGACCTCCAAAGTCGTCTCAACGTTGGACTCAACTAGATCACATCGCCATCAGCCACCGATGGAGGGGTTCGATAGAGGACTGTCGCTCGTTCTGGAGCACATGTCTAGATTCAGATCATGCCCTAGTGCGAGCGCGTATTTGTTTGAAGCTTACTGGGCGTAGGAAAGACACCGTAAGAAAGCCTCTTAGGGTTTTACTTAATGATAATAAGGCGAAAAATATATTTCAGGAGCAACTTGAAAGACAGTTAGGCGACCATTTAAGCGATTCCCATCCGGAAGCAGGATGGAATGATATCAAAAAGGCTGTGGAAACAGCAGTGATATCTGCTAGTAAGGTTGACCATAAGGCTAGAATGAAACCGTGGATCTCAGTAGCATCTACCGATCTGATGGATGCCCGAAAACTCATCCCACCTGGCTCTGAACATGATGAAGAACGAAGTCAACTTAGGCGCAGACTTATAAAAAGCCTACGTAACGATCGCGAACAGTGGTGGGTGGCGAAAGCAAAAGCGATGGAAAAGGCAGCGGCAACCGGCAACAGTAGACAACTTTTCCGACTTATCAAGGAAACTGGTATTAGGAATCCTAGTGTAAGTGAGGCTATCTCAGAAAATGACGGGACTATTATTTATTCTCAATCCAGGAGACTGGATCGATGGGCAGAACACTTTAGGGATCAGTTCAACTGGCCTCGAGCCACTCTTCATTTACCCACGATCTCCAGTCTTAATGACGTTGAGAAAGCGTTAGGAAATCTGAAACGAGGACGAGCTGCAGGTCGTGATAGACTGACCCCTGAGATATTTAAGGATGGTGGTCCAGTTTTAGCAGCTAGATTGACTGAGATCTTAGGTAGAATCTGGGAACTGGACGCAATCCCATCCGACTGGTCTCAATCACTGATTGTCCCAATCTATAAGAAAGGACACAAGTCTTCTTGTGACAATCACAGAGGAATAAGTCTAACTAATATAGTATCTAAAATATTGGCCTCAGTAATACTTCGACGCTTAACGAAAGCTCGTGAAGAGCAAACTCGAGAATACCAATCTGGTTTTCGACCTGGACGTGGCTGTATAGACCACATTTTCACACTACGACAGGTCCTGGAACACAGACACACATTTAGGCGTCCTACAATAGTTGTTTTCCTGGACCTTAAGGCGGCATTCGACTCTGTGGATCGTGAGGTTCTGTGGCAGTGTCTGTCATTGAAAGGTGTACCGAAGAAGTACATTAAACTTATACAAGCTCTCTACTCAAACACCACAGGTCGAGTGAGAGCTTATGGCGAACTGTCACCGGAATTCTCTACATCAAGTGGTGTCCGTCAGGGATGTCCACTTTCTCCATTCTTGTTTAATTTTATCATAGACATGCTCCTAGAAATAACCTTATCCTCGTCTGAATTTTCTGGAGTAGACCTTTTACCAGGTGGCTCGCTTATTGACTTAGAATATGCCGATGACATAGTCCTACTTGGTGAAGACGCTGACAAAATGCAGAGTCTTCTGACTACCCTAAGCAACAATGCAAGCATGTTCGGGATGCGGTTTTCCCCCTCGAAATGCAAAATGTTGCTTCAAGATTGGGTTTCATCGGCACCTGAACTAGTGATAGGGAGTGAAGTGGTCGAACGTGTAGACCGCTTCACTTATCTGGGGAGTCTAATCAGTGCTAATGGCCTGGTGACTGACGAAATCTCAGCACGGATACAGAAGGCTCGATTGGCTTTTGCCAACCTGCGTCACTTATGGCGTAGGCGTGATATCCGTTCTCTAATCAAAGGACGAGTGTACTGCGCATTACTTCGCTCCGTCTTACTTTATGGCTGTGAAACATGGCCAATGAGATTAGAAGATACTCGTCGGTTATTGGTTTTCGATCATAGGTGTCTTCGAAGCATTGCTCGTATATCGTGGGACACCCGAGTGAGCAACGCTGTTATTAGGAAACGGGTACTAGGTAAGAATGGCAGATCAATAGATGAAGTGGTGAAACTTCATCAGTTGAGGTGGTTGGGACATGTGTTGCGTATGCCTAACCACCGACTGCCTCGTCGAGCTTTGTTTTGTAGGGTAGGAATAGGTTGGAAGAAAGCTAGGGGCGGCCAAACCAAAACATGGCAGAAATCCATGAAGTCATTGACGAGTGGACTTAGCCATGTCGGTAATTGTCGACTACCTGGTTGGGGTCCGCGAGATGATAATAATCGATGGTTAGAGACCTTGAATGACATGGCTCAAAATCGTTCGCAATGGCGCCGGTGCATTTATTGTTTGTGTTCTCTCAAATCCTAATCTTCTGGTTTCTTCAACACCTCTAGTTTTGACTTTCTTAACTTATCTCATTGAATCATACTTCGTGAATAATATCTTCTAATTCTAACCTTTCCGATTATTTCTAATACCTTTACTACCTCTTCTTCTATTGGATTTGAATTGACAATTACATCTCTGTGCTGATGTGGTATGGCGACATGAACTGATGTACTTACGTACGAAGTTCTACGTTGCAACTGACTGACTGACTGACTATAGTACTATGTACATCTGTTGATCACGGTTCCCTTGGTATCTGACGTATGCTACCCGCAACGTTGCTTATAAGCAGTATGCAACGGGGTGTTGTCCAGAAGTTACTGCTGAAGTATCGCAAACAAATGCATAGTACGATCAAAGTGTTTTAAAGACTAGAAGACATGTGAAAGACAGCCAATAATCTGCTTATTCTCGAAACAGAACTTTGAAAATAAAATGTACATATTTTGTTAGTAAGCTGTCTTAGCTAAATACACTTCTATTCCATTTGATCTTAACGTCTTCGTATATGTTGTAGCCAGCTGGAGGATTCTTTTGAAAGACTATACCCAATTGTGGTGGTGTTTTGTTCTCTGAGCTGGATGTTTTGGTTGTGGAGCTTTCATTGTTCTTCTTAACAACATCATCAGTTTGTGCTGTTGTTGTTAAGAAGAACAATGAAAGCTCCACAACCAAAACATCCAGCTCAGAGAACAAAACACCACCACAATCATCCACCTAAGCTACAAATTTTCTCCACCATCTCAGTATAACCAATTTAGATCTGGCAAGCAATATAGTCCTTCAAAGTGAAATTGTTATGGCCGACATCATGATTATATACTGAATGGCGGCCAAAATAACACCACTGCTGACCTATAAGCAGAGAAGCTCAACATATAATACTGATGAAAGTCTTAAAGCTTTATTCCAATAAATGTTGAATTCCTCAGAGAATCTTTATAGATCTTGATGTTACCGAGATGAGCACTCAGAATAGTGTAAGATAAAACAGTAGACAGATAAGCAAATAAACTAGATTAGTTGAGCATGGGTCCTGTTTACACAATTATTCATAAAGATGTGGGAAGTCAAGAGTTTTGCCTTATTTTAATCATAACGGATTTTTCTCCGTAGATCTGGTAATGTTCAGAAAGGAAAGCTTTTGAAGGGATGGAATTCTGTGTACCTGTCTAAGAGTTCCGTACTCAACAGTGCGAACCGCTGCTCAAACTCGGCTTCCTAGATGATGGAAAAAGATCTGATGACAATATCAAGGTTTAGTGATTCTAGAAATAGCAAAACTTAGTACTACTTTGTATAGAACAGTTAGATTCCCAGATAGGTCCAAAAAACGTACAGATAAGCAGGAAAAACAGGACTGGAGACTAGGTATAAAGAAATTAACCTAAAACCTGAATGGAATGAGTCACTGCGTTTCACATACTGTACTAAGAAGCGAAGCTCCTATGCATAACATGATAGGCTTTGAAACAGCTGAGCGAGGCACAAAGACCATTTTAAATTTACAGGTTTTTAAAAACAAAACACACTACAAAGGTATAGAGGGTCGACAATACAAAAGCACTAATTAACTCACAACATATTCCACATGGTAGCGTTACCACTTATAATACGCGGTCTTTAGTCTCCAATGTCCAATATCCAATATCTTTTTCACGAGCTAGTGTAAACCAATTTGATTTCTTCGCGCTCGATTCTTGTTCTCTCGGTACGGTTACAGGTGTTCGGTAATGTCCAATGGATGGAGGTCTAGCCACTCGACTGTCTAATTCTAGTCAGTTGGCAGTTGGTTGTGAGTTTGTATGTCTCGGGATTTGAATGAAACGTTTGTTTCAGGGCAGTAGGGTTTCTGGATACTAGCAGCCGTCACATTACCAAGCCGGAGATCAATTAGTTGCAGTGTGGAGAGTAATAAGGGTACTAAGGGTAAATTAAAATGATAATATGAGTAAAATTTCAGAACTGAGTAATATATAGATGATTTTAGTTTATTAATTGGTAGTGAAAACTGTTAGAGAGGACCGAAGTGTAAGCAAGGGAATGGAAACAGAGATAATAGGCGAGATAGATTAATTGCGTAATCTGAGGAGTTGGAAATGGTAACAACTAGCAGGTCTCAAGATATGCATCAGGCACAGCTTGTCCAAGAGGGAGATGATAGTCCGTATGTGAGTACGTGATTATCAAGTCTCTTTATAAAGCAGTCCACTGAGGGGGCTGTAACTACCTCGGCTGGGAGAGCATTCCAAGTTGCGACGACTCCCAGTAAGAGAAAAAGTGTGCATGAATCTGAGTATTTGCTCTTTAATGTGCAATCTTTCGAGTATTGCCTCGAGGGGAGTGGTGGTGATGCATCGGTAAGATGCTCACATTGGGATGGTTTGACGTGGTTAATATGGTGTACGCCATAATCAGGTCACCTCTGATACTGAGTTATTTATTACAGATTCAGGGACCTTTTTGAATTATATAAATATCAGTATCGTATTCCGTGTTCATTGGCTCGGACTACTAAAATATACTGACTATTTTTGTGCTACATTTTGGTACTCTGTTTAATTCCATTTTGTGATGTTAATATTTGTATTTGGTATAGTTTCCACTTTTTGTATCTTTATTGGAGCTTCTATGTGTTTCTACTGCTGTATTTAAATCGATACTTAATGATGTTGTCTGATTTGACACCCTGGGCAGTAAAAACTGAATCTGGACTAGAAGGGTGCCATTTTGAACCTATACGGATGCATTCTTCCAGAATTGGAAAGAAGAACAGTGTAATAGTGTTTAGGTAATTATTTCTATTGTATAATTAATAATAGAACCGTTTCCGACTCAGATAAATTGCTTTCCTCTTGGGATAACTGGGAAGGGCACTTATCTAAACTTCTTCGACTGTTCTTCTGAACCCAGAAACCACTGAAAAACCCCGACACTCGTTCCGTTTGCCGAGTAAGGTGAACTCGTAATAGCATTCAAACATACCGATTCTCGATTAGAAGTGTATTACGGACAAAAGCAGTGTCAAATCCAGGAAATTCGTAACATCTTAAAACTTATGAACAGAAGGCGTGTTTGGTAAGCCAGGCACTAGTTACTGTATTAATGGCTTCATAACTATTTTTGTAGGCGTAACTAACTATTTACTACATTGACTCATTCATCCGCTTAACCTGTCTGGATATGCGAAATTTCTGCATTTTAAAATGATATTTTACACATTATTACCTAGATCATTCGAAAGAATATAAACATAGTAACGGAAAAGCTATAAATGACATAAAGGGATCTCATAAGGGTCCATTCCTAAGTCCAGGTACATTTTTTGTACTCTCCAAGGTAGCGTTGGCATTATGGGCGACTACCAAGTTCTCTTCTTGCATAGTATATGTTCACTCAACTTTGATGTTGTTATTTTCTTCCTTCAAGAATTATATCTCTTGTATTTTCCTCTCCGATTCATCTTTTGCTCTTCCAAACCTACGAGGTAACCTATTCCGTAATAGCACTGCTGCTAGTTCATACAATAACTAAGCAAACTAGTGGAGGAATGAATTCTGGGGTTAGTAGTGAGTCGAAAATCACATTCTTGGAAAAAGAATTGTGACAAAACTCGAAACGGCACTCGACAGTGTACCTCGTACTCCTGAACCACGAACCGTGGTCAGTACGAGCAGCTGACAGGACATCAATAGGCATCAAGAGCAAACTCTTATGAAGGTTAGTGGAGCGCCTGAACTGGTTCGTCTCGCTTAGATGAGGCTTACTCACGTGACGCGCAACAGTGCGATGGATATCTTGTGCCATGGGCCTTCACACCACCGTGGCAGTAAGCGTTTCCTGGACTCCACCTTCGTCAAACCTTACAAAAAGTGAGTTCCTATGTCTGTTGGTAATAGACATTGCAGACTTCGAATGTACCTTGCAAGGGATGATACTCTTCGGATACGCTGGGCTGTACAAGACAGGCGTCGGAGGAGCTATACATATTAACAGACGTTTCGAAACTGTCACATTACACGGTAAATCCGCCTGTAGACCCTTCAGGGCTACTGCCGGTCCCAATCCTGGATAAAGGTGGAGGGGTTGGACATGGGGTTGGCGACCCCATCCCAACTATAAACTAACTTGCAAGAAAAATGCTAACCAGAAGAAATAATTCAAACCATTTTCACTCTGTCCTGGGATTTGGGAGAATTATGACATCGCGCGATGAAAGCCGAGTTCCTTCGGAAGTCGCGGGGCCGATGCCTCTTCTGACAGCCAAGAAGACATTCTTTTAGGTACATGGAACGTTCGAACATTGTGGGAGACTGGAAGACTATTTCAAGTTACGGCAGAAATGAAAAGATGCAATCTCAAGGTGCTCGGCATCAGTGAAACGCATTGGACACAAGCAGGACAACTGAGACTAGCTTCAGAGGAACTGCTGTTAGACGCTGGTCATGAAGAGGAAAATGCTTCACATACACAAGGAGTTGCACTGATGCTGTCCAAACATGCACAAAAGGCACTGATAGGATGGGAATCTCATGGACACATGATCAATAAAGCATCCTTCAAAACAAGGAAATCGGACATTACAATGAACTTCATCCAATGCCATGGACCTACCAATGAAATCTCAAGGTCAACTGATCAGTCCATGCTCGCAAACATGTATTCCAGAATAAGGTATTTATCAAGCGAGTTGTGGGGATCTAATATCTCCAACAGTATCACGGCACTGCATACACTCTATTTAGCTGGTAAACAGCATTCTAATTTTATTTAAATTCTTAGCTATTGACGTAGGCTTGAAAATTTTATTGATTTCTTTATAAATTAAATAATCTGATATTTTATTAAACTACAAAAACTGTGTTCATTTTCTTGTTGCTTTTGAAACGTTATCCAATCAACAGTGATTTGAAATGAAATTTTAATTAGATTTTCTTATGCGATTCATTTTCTTTAACTATCATTATGTAAAATGACGTTGCGTAATTTGAAACTAGAAGTTTTAAATTTATGAAAATATATTTAGCATAATATTTGACAGTTGATGAATAATGAATTATATTGTAGATTTTATAATCTAGTATTTTAAATTTTAGTCATGATCTAAGCATCAAAAGTTTAACCTATTTCTGTACACCTCAGTGGTCAAATAAAAATTCTATTTTGGGGCAGAGTTTTGGAGGTTTGTGTTTTTACACATTTGAAATCATCAATCAGTCATTGTTAAACCACCATTAGAAACCTGGAAGCACTGAAAGACGGCCGTTTCGTCCTGGTATGGGACTCATCAGTGGCAGTGCGCATCCACGACTCCTGCGCCCCGCAGTATTTGAAACCGAGACCTTCGGTACTGTGCGCGAACGCCTAACCATCGGACCTCTGGGCCGGCATCCAACGGTGGTAATGTTTAACTCTGATTGATCTACGAATTTTGCGCGACCTCACCCATTTGTCTTTGGTAGTTACTGCCTACACCCGACAGGGATGAACTCCATTGGTCACGTTTTCTAGACTGGAACTCCGAGAATTTCCTGACGAAGCTAGTCACTAGTGAGGACTGTTACGATATTTAAAATTCTATATTGATTTTTCCTTAAGTACTTATTTCCCATTAAAAATACTACCTTGAATTTCATGAACCTCTTAAAAACCGAAAGTTAAAATTATGGATAACTGGACTATAAACACGATAATGAAGAGATGTTTTGCATTCAGCATAACTTAAGGTTTTTGATCTTGTTTAGTACTTGTCGATATACACTAATCGATAGTTTCTGGTTTTTAATGATCTTAAAACTGATTTCATGAAGAAAATTACCCTTAACAATGGTAAACATTGTTGACTCTGAACAGGAAATCAAAAAATTGAGAAGTATGAAAGAAGAAGAATAGCTTGATTGACAGTATGTGTTTTTTCTAAGTTTTGATAGATATCTTGTTGAATTTGAATGTTTATATAACTTTCATTGGTGATTGATTGGATTCTCACATGCATTCTGCTTTGAATAGGATTATTATCATTCTTCATTGGATTTACTTAAATTGCAAAGACTTCACTGTTAAAGTATGACGGATCATGATTAAACTGAACATAAAATCAATATATGTTTTATAAGTCAAAAGATATTAACCAGATATTGTAATTTAAGTCACTCGAGATGCTATTCACAAGTATTAAGAGTACCGTAAATATAGTCAATAACTGATATTAAGCAATATGGTATAAACAACTGTAACTGCCTAGTGGTGAATAGGCCGCCA